TGAAATTCCAACTGAAATATATAAGCTTATAAAGGATAGCAATGTTTTAGAGGCTATAACTTCGTTTTTCAATACCATTTATACCAGCGGACAACTACCTAATGGTTGGTCTAACTCACTGTTTATAGCTCTACCTAAGAAGACAACAGCAAAAACCTGTGCTGATTATAGAACCATCAGTTTGTTAAACCACTTATTGAAAATTTTTCTGAAGGTAATACATGGTCGTATCTACAATAAATGTGAGGAATACCTGGATGACACTCAGTTTGGTTTCCGTAACGGATTTGGAACGAGAGAGGCACTGTTTGGAATGAACGTACTTGCTCAAAGATGTCGTGATATATCTGTAGACATATACTGTTGTTTTATTGACTTTCAAAAGGCATTTGATCGTGTTAAGCACTCTATATTGATCGAAGCTCTAAAAGACATTGGCTTGGACGGCAGAGATGTTCGAATAATTGCAAATTTATATTGGAATCAAACAACATCAGTTTTAGTAGATGGTGTGGAATCACAAGCTCTCAATATTAAAAGAGGAGTACGGCAGGGATGCCTCTTGTCACCCCTGCTTTTTAACGTTTACTCCGAAAGAATTTTCAGAAAAGCACTTTCTGAAAAACAAGAAGGAATACTTGTGAACGGCGAAGTCATCAATAATTTGCGATATGCGGACGATACAGTACTCCTAGCTTCTAGTCAAGAAGATCTGCAAACACTACTTGATAGTGTCGTTGAGAGTTGTAGGGAGGCAGGTCTGGATCTTAACATAAGGAAAACCAAAATACTTGTAATAAGTAAACAACAGAATATAAAACCGTCTATATATGTAAATAATACCAAACTTGAGCAAGTTGATAAAATCGTCTACCTTGGACAGCAATTAAATTGTAATGCAGAAAATCACGGCGAAATTAGATCCAGAATAGAGCAGGCTAGAGCTGCTTTTAGAAGGATGTCCAAGGTGTTATGTAACAGAGACCTAAAATTGGCATTAAGGATCCGCCTACTTCGCTGCTACGTGTTCTCGGTCTTACTTTATGCTGTCGAGTCCTGGACTGTGAATAAAATCGATCTAAATCGCCTTGAGGCTTTCGAAATGTGGTGCTATAGAAGAATTTTAAAAGTTTCCTGGGTGGAGAAGATTCGTAACTCCACAATACTTGAACGTCTCAGCAAGACTACTGAGATCATAAAAAGCATCAAGCAGAGAAAGCTGGAATATTTCGGACATGTAATGAGAGGTCCCAAATATAGATTGCTACAAAATATCATGCAAGGAAAAATAGCAGGCAAACGCAGTCCAGGACGAAGAAGAACCTCATGGTTGAAGAACTTGCGAGATTGGTATGGTGTAGATACAAGCATGCTATTTAGGGTGGCAGTGAATAAAATTAAAATAGCTATGATGGTAACCAACGTTCTGAAAGGACATGGTACATGAAGAAGAAGAAAGATCAAATGTTTGCAAAGCGACGTAACACTTAGAGAGCAAATAAAAGAAGAAAAAAATTGAATTGATCTTAACGTTCAAAGAAAAAAAAGCTATCAGAGGTATCTGCAAAGATTAGACACCGTATGGGAGGAAGTTATAAAAGAAAAAATCGAGGAAGAACGAAAGAGTCGATATTCTACAATTTGGATAGTTTAAAGAAAGAAAACATGGCCAAAAATACTTACAAGGAATATGAAAGAATAGATCAAACTTATACATAATTAGAGTAGTGTAGGGTCGCCTATATTGGACCAGCTTCTGGACCTTTGCAGATTTGAGCGAACCGACAATAAGTGATGCTATACGTTAATACCAACTAGAACTAAATCCCGAAACCTGTTATATGTAGTTTCAACACGTGTGCAACTGTAAACGAAGGTTGAGAAAATATAAGTGTTTTCATGATTATTTAACTTCCGATACAAAGATACTACTACTTACCGTTCAAGTAAGTAATCACAACATTTTTATAATATCTTTATTTCTCAAGATTCATTAAAGAGACCAAAGTTTAGAGATTCTATTAGTCTAGAAGTCAGGTTTTTCTTTGCCAAGCTTTAAAAGTTCCGAAGGAATGTCATTTATCCCAGGAGCTTTGTTTCTTTCAATTTCTGTATAGCTTGGATGACTTCTACCTCTGTTGGGATGTTATGTTTCTCTATTTCATCGTCAATATCCTCGAGCTGGATTTCTGATTCGTGGAGCCCTGTCTCACCTCTTATATTTAGTCTTTCCTCGAAGTTTTCTATCCATCTTTTTAGTATCTGGTCCTGATCACCAATGATTTACCCTGTTCTATTTCTAACGATTGATAATCTAGGTTTGATTTCTTTCCCGTTCTGGTTAATCCTCCTGTATGCTCTTTCTTCTTTTTTTTTAAGTATTCGTTTTTCTTCTCGTCTCAGCTGCCTATACTCTTCCTCTGTTTGTCTCGTTCTTCGTCCTTGGAGTCTTCTATATGCCTGATTTTTTCTTTGCATTGCTTGTGTGCATTCCTCATCACACCAGTCTGACCTTAGGGCTGACTTGGGCCATAATAGTCCAATTAAACATGCCGGTATCCCAAATTGGACTTTTGTTTATATATTTTTTTTCATTTGAAAAATAAAATATAAACTACCACGTATCTATTATTTGTGATTTTTTGGAATATAAACAGTATTTAGTAAATGATTTCTATGATAAAATTTTGAAATATTTATTAACATGTGTAGATATTTGAAAAGTGGTCCAAATTAGGAAACCTTACCCTAATTGTATGCTTCTAAGCGTTTTTGATTATAAAGGATATGCAGCATTGAAGGTAGAATGAATCAATGAGAATTCGGATTTACATCAACGACTTACTTTGCACCAAAAATTTGATTTTAAAAGATTTTCAGATAAGCTCTACAAAAGTATTTTTAATTTTCATACAAAAAAGCGATGTTTACACAATCCTCCGATTTCTATTTCTGATTCTGTTTACGTAACTTTCGCTGGGTTGAGGTCATGTAAAGTCAAGATTAAGAACAACTTTGATAATACAGAATAATAAAATTTAGTAACATATGATGAGTGGCGATGCCAAATTTTATTAACATTGGCAAACTATACATAGTACGCAATAACAAGTATTATAATAAGCACGTTTTATGATGTGTTAATATTTTTTGTACGGGCTCTGAATTTGTGAATAATGAGCCTTATGAAGTTTTAATAGTAGACATCCTTAAGAAGTAGGAGGAACAACCGTCTTACAGGTTGTATTCTTAATTCGTTAAACCCCTTCTAGATCTATGCGTCTTTTTATGTAGTTATTACCAAAAGATATTATTGTTATAATACTATGTGTCATAATAATATATTGTTATAATAATAAAAAGGGAAGTAGTGAAAAGTAAAAATGAGAAAAAAGATCGAAGATATGCAGAGGTGGATAGGTACATGGGTGGAACAAGAGTTGGGCAAGCGTGGAAGGTGATAAAGTTTTTCCGGGGGGGAAGGAAAGGAAAGATCTAACTTAAAGTTAATAGATCTAAAACAGTGGAAACACCATTATGAGGTCTTCCTAACAGAGGATAGATGTAAATTCCAAGAGATCGAAATGGAAGAAATATCTGAACATACACAAATAACTGAGATAACAACCGGAGAGTTAAGCGATGTCCTCAAACGATCGAAAAACGGTAAAGCAACAGTACCTAAGACATCCCAATTGAGTTGGTAAAGTATGGACCAAAAATATTACATGAGATTGATTCAATCAGTTGGATACATCAGCTCAATATTCAAGAAAGGAGATAAACGCAAATGATCTTATTATAGGGGAATAACTGTTATCAGCTCAGTGGGGAGGTTGTACCATAATACTATGAATAACAAGATAGGATCTTCCCATAGCTCAAAATCGGTCGGGTTCATTGGAGAGTAGAATTTGAAATCTTGTTAAAGTTAAATGGGATTTGTATGCATTCTGTGATGAAATTACTAGACGAAAATAAGTTAAGAGGTTTAATAATTACACTAGTAGTACACATAAGGATATCTCCAAACTATTTATTAAAGATTATTTATTGATATACACAAAAAACTGACATTTCCAACGTGCAACTCTCCAATGACGTCACAAAACATGCGCAATATCTTATCTTATAGTCATAGTATCATGGGTTGTACGATCGAATAATAAAAGAAAGAATAGAATCAGAATACGAAGACATAGAAGAACAAAATGGATTTCGAGCAGGAAGATCGTGCACTGATGGTATGTTCGTTCTGTAGCAGGTAATCGAAAAATGGAAGGCAAGGAATCTATCTACTCACCTATTGTTTGTAGATTTAGAGAAGGTATACGATACGGTACCTTAAAAAAAACTGTTTTAAATTATCCCAATTAAGGAAAGGCTAATCGAAAAGAACATTTTCTTCGAGGAAGATTACCTAAAAAGTGAATTACTGGATACTACGGCCGCATTTAGAGACGAGTACGACAAGTACAAAATTGAAACAATTGCGGAAAAATATGGCGTTAAGATTTTGGGACTGCCGCCTTACCATTGCAGCTGAACACGATTGAGATGGTGTGGAGTCAAGTGAACAGGTATGTGGCTTCAAACAATGCAAAAACAATAGAACGGTTGATAAAAGAAGCTTATCAACGCGTATCTAAAGAGCAGTGGCATAATTATTATGCGAGCCACGCCAAGAAAGTAAAAGAAAAAATGTTTGCGGTGGATAATTTGCAGTAAGATATTGAATTGGTGATTATTAATATAGGAGATGATTTAGCGGATAAGGACGATTTAGATATGGATTACGCTTAGTATTAATTAATGAGAAATGTCTCAGATTTAATGCTCATTTGTTTTTTTTTAGTACTGTACATACATACATTGCAGATCATAACTGCAACGTACTGTTTGTTTGGTGATCACAGATCACAGAACAAGATTTTTTATAACAGATATAGAAATCGACCAATGATAATATATTGCTTAACATTCTTTTATTTTTGTTGCAGGAAGCTCACACGATGGTTCGAGAAGCAAACGAAAAACAAGCAGCTGCAGAGAAGGCGTTAAGGGAAAGTCAGATGAAGGTCGACGTTCTGACTGCCGAAGTAGCTGCCTTAAAAACTCTAGTCCTCACGTCTACTCCAAGCTCTCCGAATCCACACTTGCATCCCCAAATAGGCAACGGCAAAGACGAACCAGGTGAGTTAAAATATAATTTAATATTTTTCTCTGAAACGTGTTTTAAATTGGAATTTGTTTCAAGAAAGACTATTCAGTTTGGCCAGTAAAGGAAAAAAAGCTGAAAAATTCTTATGAAAAAAAAAATCTTCGTAAAATGCAGCATATGAAGAAGACAATTGAAGAGGTGAATTCCAAACGGGCTTCTTCTTCTTCTTATGGTGCCTATCCGTTACGGATGTTGGACACTAACATGGCTATTCTGACTTTGTTGACTGCTGCCCTGAAAAGTCCGGTAGTAGTTAAGTTAAACCACTTTCGCAGGTTATGCAGCCAGGATATTCTTCTCCGTCCTGGACCTCTTTTTCCATGCACTTTACCTTGAAGTATGGTCCGAAGTAGGTCATATCGTTGTTCATTGCGCATTATACGGCCTAGGTATTCTAGTTTGTGACGTTTTATGGTTACGACTAGTTCGCGCTCTTTACCCAGTACTTCTTCGTTGGTAACTCTATCTATCCAGGAAATCCTCAACATGCGTCTATAGCACCACATCATCAAATCTCAAATCTCACCACGTCTCTTCAGTGATGCTTCAGTTAAGGTCCATGACTCGGAAAATACGTAGCATTTTAGTAAACGAACTTTTATTTCCAATTTTATGTCGTGGCTGTTAAAGATTTTTTTTATTTTGACGAAAGCTGAACAAAAGGGCTTAAGTAATTTTTTTTTCACATTTTGAGGTTTTAGTTGAATCTGATTCTAGAGCATTATTTCTAACATTACAAAAACAATTCATGACATAAAAGCTTAAGTCAAGTATACTATACAGATTACAAATCAGTACTGTTTTCCAAAAGTGCTTTAGTCACGCCTTGTTCTTTTCCAAACAGGCTTGAGTCAGCTGTTGAGTGTTTGCGCATGCGCGATTCCAGCTGTCAGCATCTATTTACTGTGAGTTTTTGGTTATGTTGACTGTTTGAGGTGAAACAAGTGAGTAATCGAAAACTTGTGTTAGATGTTGTAACAAGTGATTTTTCAGTATTTGTAAACGACACTAATAGTGCCCAGAAGAGGAAGCGAGAGAAAAATGAAGACCTGTGGGAAAAAAATCTCAAGAAATTCGCAAGAGTTAAGAAGCTCATCCACATTACTGAAACCAGCTCAAGAAAGTTTGATACAACATAGGTCAGAGGCTAAAAAACAGTGGATGACAGAAGAAACACTATTACAGATGAAAGAAAGAAGCAAATATAAAGGAAAAGATCTACAGAAGTATAAAGAAATACAACGAATAATTAAGGAAAAAATCAAAACAGCTGAGGAAATCTATTTGATGAAACAATGTAAAGAGATAGAAGAACTAGAAACAAAATATGATATGAGAAATATGCACCAAACAATAAGAGAAGTGACTGGAATGTGTCGAAATAGACAGCAAGAATACATAAAAAGACAAAAAGGAGTAATACTAATAGATTTACCAGAGAAATTAAGACGATGGGAGGAGTTTTTCCAAGATGAAAGAGGGGAAATGCAGAAAATACAAGAATTAAATCATTTAGAGAGACCGAAGATCACGATAGATAAAATCCAATATGCTATCAAAAACTCTAAAGACAATAAGGCAGCTGGATTAGATGAAATACCAGTAGAACTGTTAAAACTAGTGGAAGAGGATAACTTGGAAGTATTGGCAGATTTATTCAACACGGTGTACGATACTGGAATAATACCACAAGAGTGGCTGAAGTCAGCATTTATAACCATCCTAAAAAACAAGCAGCAAAAGGGTGCTCTGATTATCGAACACTGAGCCTCATAAGTCATACTTTAAAAGTACTGCTGAAAGTAATACATAAGAGAATATACGAAAGTCTAGAGGAGGATATTAGCGAGACGCAGTTAGGGTTTAGAAATGGAATGGGTACTCGAGAAGGACTATTTGCCATCAACATATTGATTCAGCGATGTCGAGATGTAAATGTTGATCTACACTTGTGCTTTGTTGACTACGAAAAAGCTTTCGATAAAGTAAGACATGAAAAACTAATATCAATACTTATGAACAAGCGCATTGACAGTAAAATCATAAATATAGTGCAAACATTATATTGGAACCAAAGTGCCATAGTTCAAATTGATGGGCAACACTCAGAAGAAATGAAGATCTGTAGAGGAGTTAGACAGGGATGTGTTTTATCGCCACTTTTGTTTAACTTATATTCTGAAGAAATTTTCCAAAACACGCTCAATAATGTCAAAGCGGGAGTTACCGTTAACGGAAAATTAATTAACACCTTACATATGTAGACGACACTGTGATCATAGCAACGAGTATAGAAGATCTACAACATCTTATCGAAAGCTTAATATGAATAGTGCTGAGATGGGAATTACTATAAAGGCTAAAAAACGAAATATGTGCTAATTACAAAAAGACCACAAAATATACATCACCTTCTTCTTCTTCTTGTGTCACTCCTATCGTAGATTGGAAATCATCAAGGCTATCCTGACCTTGTTTACAGCTGACTTAAAGAGTTCATTAGTGGTACAGCCAAACCACTCTCTCAAATTACGCAAACATGACATTCTGGTCTGGGCGGTGGCTCTGACAATTTCGATACGTCTTTTTATTTCATTGTTTTGGTCTCCAGTTTATTGAAGTCCCAAGTATTTGTAACTTGATACATTGTGTATCACTCATGCCTAATATGTCTATACCCAAACGATCCATTTCCAGTACGGCGTTATCTAATTTTCCCGAAGAGAATAAGCTCCTTACATTCCATATAGCAATTTTCATGGTTGTCTTTTTCTTATTACAAGGGTTCGCAGGTTTACGACCGATGAAGCCTAGTACTTATCTATTTGTCTTCCCCTGCCGGATCTTGTTATCCGATGTCCATGATCAGTACTTCCCCGTTGCCTTCTGCATCTTTATGCCGTTGACCATTCTGTAGGGTTCACCCGCCTTCGAGACCGATTTCTCAGTCTCAGGACAAAACAGTGCCCTAACACTTACCAACTCATCCGCCCAAAGCCGTTGGTCAGTAAGTGTGGGACTGCTTATACCGGCAATCGCTCGGTGAAATTTTCGCCATATCTGGCTACCCTCACTTAGTTTAGCCTGCAGACCAATGCAGTTGCCGGGGTGTGGCGCGTGGAGCCATAAGTGAGAGTTATTATAGATGTTAGAGGACCAGTTATCAAGAACCATCTCCCGTAAGAACGATGTGGTCGTTCCAATAAAAGGTACTACCTCTATAACACAACCCTATTGACCATACATCACCTATTGACAATCAATGGTAACGTGATAAAACAAGTAGAAAAATATCAGTACTTGGGAACTTTAATCAATGAAACCAATGATCATACTGCAGAAATAAACAGGTGAATAGAGATTGCCAGATCAGCATTTATACGAATGAAGCCTCTCCTAACGTGCAAAAATCGAAATTTGGAGATCAGACTACGTACCATTCTCTGTTCCTCTATATTATTATATGGAGCTGAGACTTGGACTATAAAAAAATACAATCTAAAAAGAATTGAGGCTTTCGAACTCTGGTTATAGCGCAGAGTATTAAAAATATCATGGACTGATAGAATTACAAATAAAGAAGTACTGAAGAGGGTTGGTAAAGAAACAGAACTAATCACCACTATACAAACCAGAAAACTGGAATACCTAGGCCACGTGATAAGGGGACCAAAATATGAAATTTTGAGACTCATAATACAGGGAAAGATTCAAGGAAGAAGATCTGTTGGCCGAAGGCAGAACTCATGGTTAAAGAATGTACGTGATTGGTATCAATGCAGATCGATTGATTTGTTTAGAGCAGCAAGTTAAAAAATAAAAATAGCCATTATGATTGCCAACCTCCGTAAGGAGACGGTACTCTAAGAAGAAGAAGAAAGAAAAAACTCTAACAAAGATAATAATGATACAACAAACAATAATTATTATCTATCTATTAGCTATCCTGAGTACCTTTTAAACTGCCCTTGTATTCTTCGTTTTAAACTGTCTCCTATATTTCACAAACATTGTTTTAAACTTAGCAAGTTGCGATATATAAATAAACTGCGTTAAGCGTTTGTGTCACGCCTAATCAATATTCAAAACAACCCCTAAACTAGAGCAAACATGCAAACTTTTCCCTAGAAATTTTGACGGTTCGTTCCGTGAACTAGATAAATCGCTCGTTTGTGGAATTGTCGTCAGCAAGTCGATAATGTCCATCCTTCATATGATTATTTGGTTCATTTATTATTTATGTATAAAGCGGAATCGTTTTGAAATTAAAAAGAAAAATGTGGAGGAGTATTAATCACCGCAATATACTTGTAGTTGATTTTAATCTACTTTTTGATCTAGGATTTTTTACTTTTTATACAGTGAAACTTCTCCATAACGGCCACCAACTGGGAAATAATTATCCGTTGTGTAAATCCATCCTTTGTATGTGTCCGAACCAGATAAGTTGTTTTTTTGTTAGGTCATCTGTGATTGTTCGTTTGATTCCCATTATTTCTCTAATGCGTTCTTTGGTAATCCTTTCTCTTCTAGATCTTCCTGCGGCTCTTCTCCAAAAATCCATTTCCATCGCTTTCAGCGTCGCCAGTTCTTTCTTTCAGTGGCTATACCTCACAGCTGTATAAAGTGATACTTTTTAATATAGTCTCCTATAGTCTCACATATCCTCTTTTTATTTTCTTTGCTGATGGATTGGTCTCATAAAATACTGTTTAACATTGTGATGGCTTTTCTTCCTGACGTATTTCTCTCTCTTATGGCTTTGTCTAATGTTCCATCTTGTGAAATAGTGATACCTAGATATTTGTAGTCACAGCAGTGCTTTATCGTGGTGTTATCGTCTAATATGAGATCTTTTGCTCTACTCCAATGCACAGGTATTCGGTTTTCTTTTTATTTACTTCTAGACCCCATACATCATACTCTTCAATTAATTTTCGTGCCATATAGTTTAAATCATCATAATCTTGATCTCTTATTACTTGATTGTCTGCAAAGTTACAGTATATATGAGTTACAGTATATATTATACTATGGGCGTATATACCATAGTGTTGGTTAGCGGTATCCCCATTGTCCTGCATTTTTGTTTCCATCTTTTTAAAGCACTTTCGAGGTATATTTTAAATAAAGTGAGGGACAAACGACATCCTTGCTTTAATCCTTTTGATGTTATAAATCCTGTTGTTATTTGTGTCCCTGCTTTTATTTTTGTTATTGATTGGTTATATAGCACTTTGATGGCTTTTATTAATTCTATATTAATATTCGGCTTTCCATTGATTGCCACAGATTCTTCAGTGGAACGCTGCCGTAGGCTTTCCGTAGTTCGACGAGCAACATATGAATCTCTTGATTCCGTGCCATCTTTTTTTTTATTATCTGGGTTAAGGAGAAAATGTGGTCAATAGTGGATCGACCCGTACGAATCTGCTGTTCTTTGCTTCATAATCTAAATATTCTCTCTCGATTCGGTTCTTTAAAACCTTTCCATATATTCGACCCATAGATCCGGTTACAGCTATTCCTCGGTAATTTTCACAATTATTTTTATCACCCTTATTATGTATAGTACTGAGGTATGACATCTTCCGTTCCGTAGGGATTTCGCTTGTGTTTATGCATTCTTGAAATAGTTGTCAAAGACATTTGTACAATTTGTTCATTCCGTACTTAACAATTCTCCGGTATATCCCTGGTCCGGGTGCTTTGTTCCTCTTCAGCTGTTTACATACATTTTTAATTGCCTCTGTTGTTAATCTTATTGGCGAGCCGACTATTGAAATTCTGTATTGGTTTTGATTTCTATGTTCTTGAAATTCGACTCTATTCTCTACCAAAAGTTCTTTGAAATACTCTTCCCAGTCTTTAGGTTTTATGCTCTGTATTACTTCTTTATTCTTTTCTTTTCTCAATTTTTTATCAGTTTCCAGCTTTCTGTGCTTCTGGTTCCTCCTAGATAAGTATTTATTCATTGGCAGTTTCTTTCCCAAGACTCGTTCTTCTTCTTAGTGATTTTTCTCGTACTTCTACTTGTTTTTCTTTATATTTTGAGATGTCGCAAATCTTTATATTTTGACATAACGTCCTAAGAGGACGCAATTTGATTTTTTTAGTGTGTTGAGAGGGTAAGTATCAACTTAAGTTTAAGTTTAAGTTTAAGTTTGTGGGGTCCCCACCCTTCCCCCGGCCGCCATCTTGGAAAAAGGAGTGCAAAGGTTCTTAACAATTAGGGTGTTTCCAAGTGGTATCATATGCTTCCTTGACGTCAAAAATTATTGCGACACATTTTTTATTTGCAGCAAAAGCTTCAAGTACGTCATTTTCTAATGTTAGAATATTATTCATTTATCGACCAATTTCTACGGCAAACCACTGTGACTTAAAATGATTAAGATTTCGATCCTCAAAAGTCCATAAAAGCCTTTTATTTAGAATTTCTTGCAGGAATTTACCCATAACACATGTTAAAGATATTGGTATAATATAAATAAGTTTGGATTACTTTTTGGCAGGGTTGGACAAAAAAATGTTTTTTTAAAAAACAACAAAAAACATGTTTTTTTTATTTAAAAACAATGTTTTTTGTTTTAAAACAGTTTTTTTTTCATCTAAAAAAACACTGTTTTAAAACAAAAAAACACTGTTTTAAAACAAAAAAAAACGTTTTAAAATAATTACGTACTTCACTGGATTTCTATAGGGGATTCCCATAAACCTCAACTGGCACACATATGGGCTTTGGATAAATGCCAGAGAAATACCTGCACCATAGCAGATGCAACAGACATTTGGAAGGACTTACTGGGTTATTTCCAAAGTGAAAGTGAAGCTCAATCTAACGGTTGTAGCAACGTGTTGGAACTTCATAAAGCAGAAGCACGTTTTCAACTGGCTATATCAGATGCGCATTATTTAGCTTATTTATTAGACCCTCAGTACTTAGGTCAGAAACTCTCTGAGGTGGAAGTTGATAGAGCATTGTTATTTATTTCGGATTTTCACCCAAATGTAATGCCCGAAATACTGTCATTTCGTGCCTTAGCACCGCCATTTAATAAACAATATTTGTTTGCAAAAAATACAGTAGACAATTTAAGTTCTTTAACATGGTGGCTATCTCAAAAACAGTTTATTTCATCGGAGTTGTTGCAGCTGACAACTCAATTATTTTCAGCAGTTGCATCCAGTGCTGGAGTGGAGAGGCTATTTTCTTCATATGGTCTAGTTCACTCGAAATTGAGGAATAGGTTAGGAAGTGACAAAGCTGCTAAGCTAGTAACAATATTTCAACATTTAAATAAAAATGTTTAAGGTTACATTATTAACCGTAAAAGCTCTATATTTATAGTTTTTATTTTTTTAAGGAACATTCATTGTTATTTTTATTTTTTGTATCACATATCAGTTGCAGGATGTAGGACTGTGTAATAGATGCTGTTGTAATTCAATAATTATTTACTTAATTTCTTAATTTTCTTTTTCTTTTAACTTTATTAGGAGTATTGGTTTAGTTAATGTTACTACAGCACTGTCGTAACAGTACTAGTATGCTTGCTACCTGAACATAAATAAAGTTTAGTCAGTTACTTTTTTTGAGTTTTACTTTTTACTTAGCATTAATATTGTTATTGCACCTACTTACTCTATAATCTATGTTTGCAATTTTGCAAATTAGCAAACACAAATGTCTTATAACAAATGTTAATAAACAAAATAATAATAAACAATAACGAAAAAAAAACTATGTTTTTAAAACAATGTTTTAAAACGGTGTTTTAAAATGCAACTGTTTTTTTTTCAGTGTTTTTAAACATGTTTTAAAACGTTGTTTTAAAAAGCTTGTTTTAAAACAGCCCAACCCTGCTTTTTGGATAGTTTGATTTTAAAATTGGTATAATAGTAATCTACAACTTTTATTTGAACCAATTTTCTTTAAGTTTAAGTAATAAGAAAGGTTTAATAGACAAAAATGATTATTCCACAAGACTTTTACGTGAAATCGATGATTTTTTCATATATTGACTGGGATAGTACGTTAGTACGTCATTGAAACAACTCCAAAATATTGAAGGTAACCGATTTTATTTTCTTTTTTTCAGGCGTAGTTTTATTCAAAAAGCACCGTAGATCCCCATCACACTTCAATCTGAAATACGGCAGAGAAAACTCTCCTCCGGATTCTCCGGTGAAGGAAGTGGTTCATATTACTTCGGAAATTGAAAGTAAAGACGGTTTGGAGGTAAGAAACTTCTTTTTTTTTCAATTTTACAGTACTGAAATTGTTTGATATGGTATTTAAATGAACTGGGCCAATTTTACTATAAAAAAATTGTAAATGCAATAATTTTCGTAAGTGGGTGTATTTATTTAAAAACCCTTAAAAGGGCTACATAAAAAAAAACAAACGTTTTCGGACTAAACAGTCCATCATCAGGTTTAAAATCTGCTAGGTTAAAATGCCTGAGCCACCAAAAATACATGGGTAAAAACCCTTTAAATTACTTATAGTTATCAAAGATTATACATCTTGTTGTTAAAAAACTGTGATGTTCATTATTAAATTAAATATGACTTCAGGTAACATACATTGCAAAAAGTTTTGAGTTCCAGAGCCGGGGAGAAAACCTCTACGCACGGAGAACAGCTGGAAACTGGCCCAGCAGATTTTAAACCTGATGATGGACTGTTTAGTCCGAAAACGTTTGTTTTTTTTATGTAGCCCTTTTAAGGGTTTTTAAATAAATATACCCACTTACAAAGACTAACCTCTTTTTTGTGATACGTGGTATACAGCCAGCTACAGGAATTGTTTTCCTTGTGGATTTTCAATAATTTTCGTATATTTCAAGGAGTTAATGATTTAGTACGATATATAACGACATTAACGCTATTAAAATGTTTTATATATGAGATCAATAGATTAAAAGATGAAAATATAAAAGTACAGAAGATAAATCGAGAAGTTAAAAACTAAAATGACGTTCTAATGTGAGTATAACTAAAACCTTATAATTTTCAAAAAGAGGTTAATCTTTGTAAATGGGTATATTTATTTAAAAAAACCCTTAAAAGGGCCACATCAATAAAACAAACGTTTTCGGACTACACAGTCCATCATCAGGTTATTAAAATCGAAAATGCTAGGTCATAATGCCTGAGCCACCAAAATATTAGGGTAAAAACCCTTTAAATTACATTTAGTTATGAAATGTTGTACATTGTGTTATAAAATAACTGTGATGTTCTATATTAAATTAAATTTGACCAAAGGTAACACATGGCTCAAATGGGTTCCAGAGCCGGGTGAGAGACAACCTCTGCACTCGGAGAACAACGTGGAACTCAACGTGAGTTCCACGTTGTTCTCCGAGTGCAGAGGTTGTCTCTCACCCGGCTCTGGAACCCATTTGAGCCATGTGTTACCTTTGGTCAAATTTAATTTAATATAGAACATCACAGTTATTTTATAACACAATGTACAACATTTCATAACTAAATGTAATTTAAAGGGTTTTTACCCTAATATTTTGGTGGCTCAGGCATTATGACCTAGCATTTTCGATTTTAATAACCTGATGATGGACTGTGTAGTCCGAAAACGTTTGTTTTATTGATGTGGCCCTTTTAAGGGTTTTTTAAATAAATATACCCATTTACAAAGATTAACCTCTTTTTGTTATACGTGGTATACAGCCAGCTACAGGAATTTTTCCTTGTGGATTTTTTTTATAATTTTCAATCTGTCCAGATGCTTGCCTTTGCAATTAACTATATTTGTACATTGAACAACATTTCCATAAATCGTGAATAACGATAATATCATTAACAAACAAATTATCTACGTATAAATTCCGGGAACTGTAACTGAGAGAATCGTCTATTCTATTTCGAATCGTCACAATTTTTTGTATCGATTTAAAAAATATGTAAATGGAATTCTCAATGTCACGTCGAATAATGCAAGTGATTTAATAACTAAATAATTCAGTACCGCGTTATTATGGAGCTGTACTTCTTTGTTCTCGATAGAAAAAACTTATTTTTCAAGTAATCACGTACATAGTACGTCACGTTTTTAGTTATCCTCTCTCGTTTCTTTAGATTGGAAGAGTCCAAGAAGTTTTACAGAACCAACGATACTGATCTGGTTGTTATTAAGAAGCAAAGGTTGAAGAGCTCCTTTATAGGATAATGCTAATGTCTTATCCTCGTTAAAAGAGAGTATATTATATAACTGGCTATAGAGCCGAACCAGATAGATAGGTTTATTGACAATTTTTACATAGTAAACACTACATGTCATGTCACAATAAAAATAATTTACTTTTGTATACTAAGAACTAAGAAATAATACAAGAACATATAATAAAACATATACAGTGAAAATTAGATATAAAAAATTATGACAAATAAGAAAGAAACATTTCAGTAAGGCGTAATATAGTTTTCATTAAAAACGACCACACTAGGAGCTCAAACAAACAAATTCCTGTATACTATAGAAACAGTGTTCCAGCAGGAAGTGTTTTGCTAGTTTATAAAATTGTTTAGAATTCATTGCCTTAATATCAATATTTTTGTTTAAGTTTAAAAAACAATTATACAGATTATAATCTATTGTATTAAGTTGTGTAACACACAATCTGGAATATGGTATAATGATATGACTTTTATTTCTTGTATTGTAATGATGTTGATCAGCATGTGATTTTACATCTTTTATATTATTATGAATAGTTAACAAAGTTTCAAATATATATATTGAAGGTAAAGGAAGAATGCCATACTTCTTAAATAAGGGTTTACAGCTGGCGCGATATTCTGCCGAGTCAATAATTCGGATTGCTGCTTTTTGAAAAGTGAAAACTTTATATGCATAGGACGAGTTTCCCCAAAGAAGTATGCAATATGTCAGGATACTATGAACCATTCCAAAATAAACTGACCTAAGAATATCTCGACTCACAGAAGTAGCCAATCTGCGCATAGCAAAAATCTGTGAGGCGAGCCCCCTACACAATCGTTCAATATGGTGCGACCAGTTCAACCTTGTATCCATAGTAACACCTAGTAACTTTACTGGTTCAGATGGTGTAACCCATCTATCAGAACTAAATACGATTTTCTGGGTTTTCTGCTCGTTTAACTTAAGTTTGTTACAGTTAAACCAGGATTTAGATTTTTCTAATATATCCTGACTGTAATCAGTTTTACCTCTACATAATAAGGTTGTGTCATCTGCAAAAAGAACACAGTTGGTGTTATCCAATGCACTTGGTAAGTCATTTATATATATCAAGAATAGTAGAGGACCCAAAACTGATCCTTGTGGTACTCCGGTTGAAACTGGTAAAGGATCAGATTCTTGATTATTAAATGCAACAATCTGTGTTCTTCCTGTAAGATAGGATTTTAAAAGGTCATGTATGGTGCCCCTTATTCCATAGTACTCCAATTTTATCAATAGTGTTTGAATATCTACACAATCAAAAGCTTTTGTAAGGTCACACATTAAGCCATTAGTAGGTTCACCTGCATCAAAACCGTGAACAATATGTTCTATTACTTCTAATAAAGCTTTAGTTGTTGAGTATTTTTTTCTAAAACCAAATTGAGAGCTAGATATAATTGATTTGTTATCCAAATAATTTGATATACGATCTTTAATTAAGATTTCAAAAATTTTACTTATTGTTGGTACTATGGTAATAGGTCTGTAATTGTCAGGAGCATTTTTATTTCCTTTTTTATGAAGTGGAATTACTTTTGATATTTTGAATACATCAGGCCAGTAACCCTCGTTAATGCATTTGTTAAATATTATTGTGAGTGGTTCAACAATTGTATCAAGCGATTCCTTAATAATTTTACTGTTAAAACCATAGTAGTCAACACATGAAGAATTTTTTAATTTGTATATGCATTCTTTCACATCAGATGCTACTATTGGAGACATAAAGAACGAACTTGACCTTCTAGGTAGCCTGCTAAGATAGTAGTTTATGTCATGCTCAGAGTCTCCTATTGATTTCGATATAATATCTGCTATATTCGTAAAGTATTGGTTAATTTCTTCTGGTGTTAAGTTCAGATTAGACGTAGTATGTTCCTTATAGGTTTCTTTTTTAACAATACTCCATATTGTCTTACTTTTGTTGGTGGATTTGTTAATTATGTTAGCATAAGCAGTACGTTTTTCAGCTTTTATTGCTTGCTTATATTTTTTTCGTATTTGACAATGAAGAATTGCAATATTAGAGATTCTCCAGGTGATACTGGTATCATCAGCAAAAAGAAAAAATTCGTTCATCGATTTTTAAATTAGTGATGTCATTTATAAAGAGAAGGAAAGTGGAGGGCCCAATACTGAACCTTGTGGTACTCCACATACAATATTTTTGTGACTAGAGTCAGTATCATTTGCTCTAACTAGTTTCCTATTGGTGAAAGTAGTTCTAACTAGTTTGTAACGAAAATATTTTGCCTACCACACGGGGTAAGATTATGGGGTATAAAATTGGGGACTGAAACTAAGGGGGTGGAGATAAGGCAAGCAAAATAATCGCTACTTGTGCGAACGGCACTCAGGGTTTGGTAGGAGAGCTGGGGTCGTGGATAAGTAAAAGATAAGAGGGTTGGATTGGGGCAACTACAAAAAAAGAAATAAAGGGGTACTTAATCTCTTGGGATAAACAAAATAAAAATAAACAGGAAACACCTCAAGGAATTTAATATAGGCGCCACTTGAGGTGCCTAATTATACCTATTACAACCACTAGTTGTAACTAGGGAAATAATTATAAAACATCAAAAACATATCTTTTTCAAATAAAACTCAAAAAATAAACAAAATGTTAAGAAAACAAAATTTAACATTTATTTTTGTGTCATACCACAAACAGTTACAAAACATAGAGAACCAAGAATGTTAAAAAAAAATACAAAAATATTACCACGATAGTCGCAAAATACAAAAAACGTTTTACTAATTTACAAATTCAGGAGATGCTACAAAAAATTACTATGTTACTGACATATAAACTATGGCAAATATAAAAATTATTACAAATAAAAATTATCTTTTAAAACAATGAAAGCAATTATTAATTTAGCAAAAAAATGTCTGTCTTTACTTTGAAAATTAAACAAACAATAAAAGTTACCTGAATTTCACTCATAAACACGCACATAACTCCGAAACTTGCTACATCTCTGAGACTGGAGCTGCAAGGACGAAACTCTGGAACAAGGGGAACCATTTCCATACTCAGGAACAAAAGAAGACCATCTCCATAATTTGGAACGACGATCTGACGTAGATGGGCTGGATCAAATAGGAAAACGACAACAAAGCTGTGGGACATCCTATATACAGCTTCGAAATTTCATCATGGTACTGGTATACTATACAATTCACTTTCACTGCTACATACTTTTACAAAAAGGGGCCAAAAACAGAAAACCACAAATTCGATGACGAATTCGGATCCGTACCTGAGCCTACAACGACCCAAGTAAGAATTTAGATCCATACCCGGTCCTGAGACTACGACGACCCAAGTAAGAAGAAATTCTCTTAAGAATTCTAAGAAAGAATAGAAGAATCTAGAATACTAAGAAACGAGAAATACGAATTGATGCGGCTGGTCATACAAGGGAAAGTGGAAGGCAAAAGAGGACCGGGGAAAAGACGCACATCCTGGTTGAAGAATCTGAGACAATGGAGTGGGAAAACGTCAATAGAACTTTTCAGAATGGCTGCAAATAGAGTCAAATGGGCCATGATAATCGCCAATGTCCTTAGGTTTGTGGCACGTTAAGAAGAAGAGTAAAATAACGTCATACAGGCGCCATCTGAGAACAAAAACAAAACTTTACAAGTGTTCGAAACCAAAATACAGATTACTAAATAACAACTATAAATAGTACCTTAAATAAATCCAACTTCACCTTATTACTACATGTACTGTTACTTTTTATATTATTTTATGACGTTTACGTAATGGCGCAGGTCGACCCAGTGATTCACAAAGAATTCCTCGCATGGCGACAGAAACCAGTTCTGGAGAAACGTGACCCGTTCATTCAGCGAATTTACGAGGAAGACATTGGTTTATGCTTAAACTTCAACAATAAAGAGCTGTCGCATCGTGTTGTGCATGCTGTGGAATCTGGTACCATTCTCGTCGAGGCCGTAGGCGACAAGTCCAAAGCGATGTTTCCGAAGTAAGTATTTTGACGTTCCCGAGAAATTGCATCAATATTTTAGTAACATTTTAGTACGATAATAGTGATTAATTTATTATTTACAATTATGGCGCATCAACCTATGTGGTTATTAGCGCCGCTCGATATTACAATCTTTTTTTACATTTATTGATACTTAATATACAGGGTGTTTCAAAAAAGGTAACCCCGTCTCTAGGGTAGGTAAAAAACTGAAAAATAATTGGGTTTGCTTAGTAAAAAATTTTTGTAACGCCATCCGTTTTCAAGATACAGGGCGTTGAAGAAAAAAAAATTACGCATTTTTTACGATTTTGCCGAAACTACTGACAACATTGTAATGAAATTTTATACGAATATGTTTTGGAAGCTGATACATCCCGTGAATTTGTTTTTATATCTGATTCTCATAGAGGGCGCTAGTTACACGGATCGTACTAAATATTAGTCAATATAACTTTTTTAAGAGTATAATTATTAATCAAAATTTCAAGTAAACTTAACATCATTCAATTTTACACGAAAAAGGTACTCTTGGTAAAACTCGATACTGTGTACCGTTTTCGGAATATTTTGATTTGAAAATTATGAAGTAATAATTGATGCTGGTAGTAATGATAAAGTTCTAATAGGTATACCTCTATTTTCTCCAAGTGTGCCATGGAAATCTGACATTTATTGATTGTTATGACGATAAATCAACAATAATTAGAGTTTTGAAACCTTGTTATTTGTAAAATCAAATCAAAATGTACTCAAATGTTGAATACACTGACATGTTATTAACCTTAGGCGAATGTTTAGGATGTTCTAGTGCAGCTGTGACACGTTATGCAGAAAAGTTTCCTAGAAGAAACTTACCAAGTAAAAAAACATTTAGAGCCGTTGAACGACGTTGTCGAGAAACTGGGAATGTGAGACCAAATAAAATAAATTCTGGTAGACCAAGAACAACAAGAACAATTAATAAAGAAAATAATATTTTAAATTTACTTGATCAAGATCCAACAGTTAGCGTAAGGAATATAGCTAATGATCTACCGGTTAGAGTGGATTTTTGTGAAACTGCAACAAAGGACAGCTCACAATCCAAATTTTTTAAAATGCATTCTTTTTACGGACGAGGCCACCTTTACGCGACAAGGTATGTTTAACTCCCATAATGCACACTACTGGTGTGATGAGAATCCACGAGCCAAAGGGTATAAGTATCACATTACCAACACTCATTTAAAGTTAATGTTTGGGCAGCAACTTTAGGTAACAAATTAATAGGTTATCATATTCTACCTGGAAATTTAAATGGTGATATGTATCTTGATTTTTTAAACAATTCCTTATTCGAGATATTAGAAGATTTAACGCTAAACGAGCGAAGATCTTTATTTTTTATGCACGATGGAGCTCCACCACACTTTGATAGAAGGTGTCGTAATTGGTTGAGTAATCATTTTCCAAATCGATGGATTGGTAGAGGTGCAGAAACTCCGATTCATTGGCCTCCTCGGTCATGCGATTTTAACCCTTTGGACTACGCAGTTTGGTCGTATATTAAGGAAAAAATCTATGCTACAGAGGTAAATTCACGCCAAGAATTGGAAGAAAGAATTCAACGTCAATTTAATGACATCATAGCTGATCCCTACCGTTTAGAAGGTTAATGGAATCTTTAGAAAAAAGAATAGACTTGTGTATTCGCGAAAACGAGGGCATTTTGAACACTTACTGTAATTGAATTTTATTTTATGTTCTTAGTCATTAATTTAATTTTCTTCTTGTGAGTTTTGTTTAATTACTAACTATTTTATATCAGCATCAATTATTACTTCATAATTTTCAAATCAAAATATTCCGAAAACGGTACACAGTATCGAGTTTTACCAAGAGCACCTTTTTCGTGTAAAATTGAATGATGTTTAAGTTTACTTGAAATTTTGATTAATAATTATGTATCAGCTTCCAAAACATATTCGTATAAAATTTCATTACAATGTTGCCAGTAGTTTCGGCAAAATCGTAAAAAATGCGTAACATTTTTTTTCTTCAACGCCCTGTATCTTGAAAACGGATGGCGTTACAAAAATTTTTTACTAAGCAAACCCCAATTATTTTTCAGTTTTTTACCTACCCTAGACACGGGATTACCTTTTTTTGAAACACCCTGTAGATTCAGTTAACTCTTTTTCTAGTATTGGTGCATTATTGGTAGGTTATCGCTTTTATCATAATTGAATTCTTGTAATTCTTCTTTGGTTTCAAATTGTAAAAACTCTTGAGAAAAGTTTTCACTACTTGAATATGACTAGTAGGATGAAGCTAATACATTGGCTATTCCAGATCTTCTTCTTCTTCTTGTGCCACTCCTAGCGGAGATTGGAAATCATCATGGCCACTGCGACTTTGTTAGCAGCGCGCCTAAAAAGTTCAATCGAACTACACCCGAACCATTCACGTAGATTACGAAGCCACGATATTTTTCTTCTTCCCACACTTCTTTTGCCCTTAATTTTGCCCTGCATGATGTTTCTTAAAAGTTCGTACTTTTCACCTCTCACAATGTGCCCCAAGTATTCCATCTTTCTAGTTTTTATCTCATTTAGAATTTCGCATCTTTTGTCTAAAGTTTGGAGTACTTGCGTATTAGTGACGCGGTCCATCCATGATATTCTGAGAATGCGCCTATAGCAGTTTTAGTGTCCAAGCCTCAACTCCATATAACAGGGTAGAAAAGACATAACACCGCAGCATTCGTATTCGTAACTTTATATTGATATCACGATTGCAAAAGAGTTTGCGCATTCTATTAAAGACTGATCTAGCGATTTCTATTCTACATCTAATCTCTTTTGTTTGATCAGTATCGTCTGTGATCCAAGCACCTAGATATTTATAACAGGGCACACGCTCAATCGTTGTATTGTCTATTACAAGATTAGCTCTGATGTTCTTTGATTTCGTGATTACCATAAATTTAGTTTTTTTCAAATTAATGTTCAAGCCGTAACTGTTACAGTATATATTGAGACTTTGAACGAGATGTTGTAGTTCTACTAGCGTTCCCGTTAGGAGAACTGTATCGTCAGCATACCTTATATTGTTGATCGTCTCACCATTTATTATCAGACCAAGATCTTCTTCCTCGAGTGCTTGTTCACAGATAGCTTCACTATACAGATTAAATAAAAGTGGCGATAAGATACATCCCTGCCGGACTCCTCGACGGATTTGAATTTCTTCTGTTAGTCTGCCCTCAACCTTGACATTTGCTGTTTGATTCCAATATAGATTGCATATAATTCGAATATCTCGGCTGTCTATATTTTTCTTTATTAGAACTTGTCTTAGTGGTTCATGTTGTACTTTGTCAAAGGCCTTCTCGAAATCAATAAAGCAGGCGTTAGATCCAGATCTAGATGTATGAATTTTGTTATTATTTTCTAAAAATCTAATCTAAAAACTAATGATTAATGTATCCTTTAAATTACTGGTATAAGAAAACAAGGTATTCTTTGATTAGCTGAGATTATTAAACATTTAGAGAAATTTCTTACATCTATTTAACTGTTTTCTGAATGTTTAAGAATAAGTCAGTTCCGTTTTTTGTCGCAAAGATATTTTTACTCGTGTTTCAATACAATCTAATTTCTTTATGTAGTTTTAATAAATGAAAAGAAAAGTTTCTCAGCATTCGATAAATGTTTAATACCAACACAACAATGAACAATTCATCGTAATTTTCTCAAGGCAGTAATCGTTATTTTATTAATAAATTTATTGATATATAAGTCGAAGTCGTACAAACACAAACAAAATGAATTAACATTTTTATATTTCCAGAAAATGTGCCTTGCTGGAAGTTCCAAGGTTATGTTTTTATCGAATGAGTATCGGAGAAACTGACGACTGGTACAACATATCGCAAATTTGTCGGAATAGGGTAAGGCAATTAATCTCTTTAAATATTTAACAACAAAGGTTATCAACTCTGTTTTTTGTTTTTATAAATATAGATAATTGCAGTCTGTGATTTTTTAAACTACCTCAAGTACATCGAAGGAGGATTGGTGAAAAGTTCCGGTAAGTTTCACAATTATTTATTTTTGTTTGTAGAAAGTTATTTTTAGACATAATAGTCAATTAGTTTAGTTTGGTTCTTTGTTTAATACTTTCCGTTAAGTTCACGTATTTCTCGATTAAATAAAGGGCCATAACAAATTTCTTCGGTTAGTTTGTACCAGTAGCCAAGTTCTTTACTTGCTGTCTATTCTTGTCTTGATTATTAACCAATTTATGAAGAAACTTCTTGCAGCTATAGTGAAATTCACACTGAGTACAGTAGGGTGAAGATAGGGATGCGCATCTCAGCGACGAAGGTTGGCAATCATCATGGCTATTCATCATCATGCTCGAAACAATTGCCTTGAGTTGCAACCAAACCACTCTCTCAGGTTCTTCAACCAGGAAACACGTCTTCTTCCTACACTTCTCCCACCTTATATTTTTCCATGAATTATGAGTCTCAAGATGTTGTATCTTTCGCCTCTCATCACATGTCCGAGATATTGCAATTTCCTTCCTTTTATTGTAGTTTCCATTTCCCTTCTTTTATTGTATTTTCCATTTCCCTCTCTCTGTCTATTCTCCTTAACACTTCTCTATTCGTAACTATCTAGCCATGGAATCCTTAACAATCTTCTAAATGTCCATGTTCCAAATGTCTTTTGATGTTAAGAGAGAGAGAGTCCGTATTCTCCACTATATCTTAATATTCTGTTCATTATTCTTTCTAATGTATTGAGTATTAAGTATTGATCAACAACATAAGATATGCTGATGATGGTGTCTTAATTTGTGACAACATAGTCGATCTTCAACAACTTGTCACTATAATCGGAGAATACAGTGAGCGAATGGGACTAGAGATTAATACCAAAAAGACCAAATTCATGATCATCTCCAGAAACTTGGATGCATTTGAAAACTCCACCATAACACTGAATAGTAAATCCATAGAAAGAGTGAGTAAATTTAAATACCTGGGATCGTGGCTTTTTGAAGACTGGGCATCGGACAGGGAAGTAAAATGTCGCATTGAGCAAGCTCGACAAGCTTTCGTAAAATTCAAGAAGGTACTGACTTGTTCTGAGTTTGATCTTCAACTGAGACTAAGGTTTACTAAGTGCTACGTATGGTCAGTGCTGCTATATGGCGTAGAGGGTGGACACTCAAAACGAGGGATATAAACAGATTAGAAGCTTTCGAAATGTGGCTTTATCGCCGTATCCTAAAAATACCATGGACAGCGAAAATCACAAATATAGATGTCCTTAAAAGAATAAACCAAGAACGCCAACTTTTCGAAACCATCAAGAAAAGGAAAACGGCGTATCTAGGTCACATCATGCGAAATGAAAAATACCAGTTCCTCCAACTTATAATCGAGGGTAAAATTGAAGGCAAGAGAGGAATGGGACGCAAGAAAATGTCCTGGCTCCGAAACATAAGGCAATGGACAGGGATTAACGACATACAATCTCTGATACATATTGCAAGAAATAGAGAGTTAATGGAAAATGTGATCGCTAACATCCATTAGTGGATTTGCATCTGAAGAAGAAGAAGAATTCTTTCTAAGTCTTCCAAGTTGTCGGCTATTATGACTGTATCGTCGGCATACCTAATGTTGTTAATTAAACTTCCGTTCAATTTTATGCCGACTGTCTCATTTATCAAAGCTTCTTGTATGATTTCTTCAGAATAAGCATTAAACAATAACGGCGACAATATGCAACCTTGCCTGATCCCTCTCCATATGTCCACTTCTTCTGACACTTCTCTTCCAATTTTCACATTTGATCGTTGGCTGTAGTATAAATTTGATATCAATGTTACATCCCTCACGTTGAGATTCTTGTTTTAGAGTAGTTCTATAAGTCGGTCATGTTTTACCTTATTGAATGCCTTGTTGTAGTCTATAAAGCATACATAAAGATCTCGATAAAAATCCAAACCTCTTTGGGTCAGCACGTTAAAAGAAAATAGTGCCTCTCTTGTGCCCATTCCATTCCGAAATTAAAACTGGGAATCACTAATATCCATCTCCAGCTTAGCGTTTATTCTATGATGATTTTTTGCAAGTTTTTAAGGTATGTGACATTAGACTCATCGTTCGATAATCACTACATTCTTTGGCATTTACTTTCTTTGGTAGACAAATAAATGTTGATGTCAGCATTTCACGTGGAATAGAATTGTGTTCAGTAGTTGGACTAAAAGATCTATGTTTTTTTCATTGACCAGTTTTAGCAATTCACTTGGTATTTTATCTGGACCAGCAGCTTTATTATTTTTCATGGACTTTACTACATGCATAACTTCTGACTTTGTTATTTCGGGTCCTCGTCTTTACTCTGATTATCTTCATATATATTTTCCTGTCTCTGATCACAGAATAATTCCTCTATATATTCTTTCCATCTTCCTAATTTTTTTCCGTCTCCACTAAAATGTTTCCTTGTTTGTCCAATAGTATGCTTGAGGTTTTTTGTTTTGCTACCCCAGCTAATTCATTAACTTTCTTATGAAGGTTGAAGTTATTATATTTATTTTATAAGTCTTTGCCTTCTTCTGTCCTCCATCATTTCCAAGATTTCTTGTGTCATCTAATCTCCTTTCTTGCATCTGGTTGTTGTGAGTTCTCTGCGACTTGGTTCGATAATTGCATTTTTAAACAATTGCCACTTTTATTCTACATCACCATCAATTGATGCCGGTGTGGATTCTAGGTTTGTATTAATTTCTTGTTTCAGTTTTTCTTTGACGTCTTCGCAGTTTAAAGAAAGTATTCATTACCGCAAGATTATGTTCTAGGCAGAATTCTATAAGGCGCTCTCCTCTCTCATTTCGAACACCGAGTCCATATCTACAGTAGACTCACATCTTCCTTCTCCAACTTTGGCGTTAAAATCACCCATGGCTACTGTTATATCTCTAGATGTTGTATTTTGTAGGGATTTTTGAAGGTCATCGTAAAATTTTTAATTTCTTCTTCTGTTTTATCGGCGAGTTGGCGCAATAATCTGAATAAGGTTTAATTTCCCATGTATTGTCATCATTTGTATTAGCATAATTTTTTCCGATATTGGTATAAAGCATACAACTGATTTTGCAACTTTTTTACTGACATTAATTGCTACTCCATACCGATGTTGGCTGTCGGTACTACTAGAGTAGAAAAGTCGACCATTAGTTGTACTTAGTTCGCCAGAGTCGAGCTATCTTGTGTCACTTATTCTCAATATGTCGATCTTAAGTCGCATCATTTCTTGTTCTATATTCCTTAGTTTACCAGGCTCGTACATGTTTCTAACATTTCATGTCGCTATTTTAAAAGTTGAATTTTGTATTTTTAGTACGCAGGAATTTCTTTGGTTAACGACCTGAGGAGCCCTGTATTGATTGTTATTTCTCCCCCTGCCGAATCTTGGCATTCGAGAACCATGATTAGTACGGTGATGCTTGTCACTACTGTACTAATCATGGTCCTCGGTGATTAGTACGGTGATGCTTATCACTAGTGCTTCGAAGAAATGGTCTTGAAAAACTTACCATCCAGGGAAAAGTAGAAGGCAAAAGAAGTAGAGGTAGATCTCCTACACGATACACGGACCATATTGTTGCTACCATTGGCGCTCCATTGTCAGAATGTGCTAGATTGGCAGAAGATAGAAAAACGTGGAGGAACATTGGAAAAATTACCTAACAGCTTCATGATATCACGATACCTGCATCAGGTTAACGACTAAGAAGAAGAAGCTTGTCACTAACTGCCATGACGATTTCTAGGGGTACTCTACGAGTCTTTAGTGCAGTGGTTCCCAGTGATTTCTCTATCTCAGGACAAAAGAGTGCCCTTACATCTACCAGCTCCTCCGCCCGAAACCGTTGGCCAGTATTTGACTTGATTCTATACCAGCCCTAAAATCGAGGGTTGCCACTTACGTCATCCGCACCGTACCGAAGTTTTGCTTCTCCGCCTTGGCTCCCGTTGTGGACTTCATCCGTAACCCTGGACAAGGGAACTAAACAGGTACTAGCTTTTCGAGTCAGCGATTGATTCCTCTACGGAGGGCAGGGATTAATTCATTTTCCCCGATAGGACTATCTTCAAGAAGTTAAAGAGTTCCTACCCGCTACCCCAGTATAAAGATTACTTAATTTAGTAGTTAGTGTTCAAGTTTCCTACAGTTCGGATCTAGAAAACTCTTTCGAGTAGGGACTTATGTTCCCTATAGGCAATCTAAGTCCATCAGTACATAGCAAGATTATTTAACGATTTTAAATGTGATTTAATCTATACTCATACTGCCGGGAGATGCATTGTATCCAAGCCGGTCCTATGCGATGCTCTTGAGTGAGCAATCAATAGCTGGTGAAGGCCGACAATCTTTTGTGTTTATTGGTCATTAGAAAAGCATTACCCCTATCTTAGCCGTACTGCATTCTCAGTATGAATTTCACTATAGTTTGTAGTCGATTACGGGATCTCCGTATCTAAAGGTTTCATATTAAACTTGACTGGAGAATCTAATAAAGTCCCTCCGTTGCTAGCCAAGTCCTTTAGTTGCTACATATTCTTGTCTTGATTATTGACCGTCTGGCAAGGAATCTTCCTGAAGCTAGTTTGCTTTATCTAAGGGTAGGATCCCATAAAATCGTATTTTATCTTTTCTCGGTGGAATAAAGTTGTCTTCCTAGTCTTGTCTTGACTATCTGGAAGCATCTTCTTCCAGATAGTCTGTGGTCAGTTTCAGGAGCTCTTACTCACAACGATTTTAGCCTGGGCTCGACTGGAAATGTTTTCTAACTGATGCCAGAATGTATGCACCATACATTGTGACCGTTCAGTCAGTTAATGGGTGGTTAATTTCATTAGTTCGTCTTTTGTTTTCTAATGTTTTCTTACTACTCTTGTCTGAACTCCTAGATTTTTTGTTAGCATCTTCTTCCAGATAGTCTGTGGTTAATCTGAGGAGCTCTTACTCCAACGATTTTAGCCTAGCCTTGACTGGAAATCCTTTCTAGCTGAAAAGAACAAAAATCATCCATTAGAACGTGTGACAAACTAATACCTTTACTTTTTGTCTTCTGTTGTCTTAACTGCTGGTTTCAGTGTTAAGAATCCTTCTCAGGATAGTTCGTGGTCTCTCAGGAGCTGTTACTAAAACGATTTTAGCGTGGACTTCATTGGAAATTCATTCCAGCTCATGTCAGAATGTATGTCCCACACACTCTGCCTTTTAGGCGAAGAATCGGCTTGACCCGGTTCATGATTCAATAATTTCGTTTTTTTCTCGAAAAAATAAAGGTTTATAACAAAATTCACCGACTAGTTTGTCTCAGAAACCAACGACTTGTTAAGAATCTTCCTTTAGATAATTCTTGGTCGGTGTTGGGAGCTGTTACTATGACTATTTAAGGCTGGAATTGATTGGAAATTCTTTCTAGTTCTGACCATTTAGCCTAAGAATTGTTAAATTTATGTTTTTTGAAGAAGCAATTTCAGCCTGGGATCGATTGAAGATCTTCTTCTAGTGCATTACAAATGTATGGTCCATATTGTAGTCGGATTCTGATCACACTCCTTTTGATTATTAGTCAAATTCATTTATTTCTATAAAACAAAATCCTTCATTAAAACACTCCTAGCTGTTTGTATCTTGACTCCTGGCCTCAGTATCAAGAATTTTCCTTCTGGTAGCCCGTAGTTGATCAAAAGATGTATTTTTCAAATGATTTCAGCCCAACTATCGACTAATTGTCGTCGATGTTTTCCTTTCGTCTTTTGCAAGTTATATTGATACATACTCAAATATTTCCAACTTCGATTCTCCAAGTCTACTAGCTGAGCCTCTCTATGTATTTCAAACTCTTCTTCTTATGGTGCCCCATCCAATTAGTGGATGTTGGCGACAATTCTGGCATACTCCTCTCGATCTTGTGTGGCTCTAAAGAGTGCATGGGCCTCTAGGTTTGTCCAATCCCTTTGGATGGGCTTTGGTATTTGACCGGACCCATAAATGTCAATAAAAAGATCTACCAAGGCATCTATATTGTCTTCACTCAACATTGTTAGAACCTCTATGTATATGTTGTCTGGGTCTAGTGCTTTTTCCCATTTGCTCTGTTTGATTGCCCTTACAACTTCTGACTTTAATATTTTGGGTGAGGGTTCATTTTTATATTCACTTTCAGGGTTTCTTCTGGTGTTATCTGAGTATAGTTGCTGGGTGTAGTTTCTCCAATGTAGAAGTAGATCCTTTTTTTTTTTTTTTTTTTTTTTTTATTGCCGTATTGCCAGAATCCAGTAAGAGCCTAAGAAGGTATCCATTAGATTCTGACAGGCAACGGTGGGGGAAATCTTTTTTGGACCTCTACGTCACGGAACAAGACACCCTGGTATCTTTTGGCACAGTGGGATACTAAGCCACAAGACATCAGGGTAGTGCCGGATTAATTAGAAGTAGATCCTTGGGATCAGTAATATTTATTGTCCTTCACAATACTGTTAAAACTGCAAGGTTTTGTATGACCTGTCACTTCTTTAACGAGTTTATGTATGTTAGGGTGGTCATGTTTTTCTTCCAATTTCTCCATTTCTCCACACCTGTCTAGCAGCCAGTGGTCTTTAGCTTTGCGACACTCTTTTCGTATTTGTCGGGTTTCAAACTCGTAAAAAATGTTTTGTACTGCAAAAAACACATCATAAGTTAAGTAAATTCGTTCTATTCATAATTTTCCTCATCATTCTGTCGGTTAGTGTCCGATAAATTGATGACGCATATTGGCCTACTCATCTAACTTAGTTAACAAAGTAAATCTAATTTCGTTGGAGAATATATAACAACATCTCGGTACTAATCTGATTAAACTCGTTATCTCTAACGGCATCCTCAAGCCAAATTACCTTAATGACATAAACCCTAATTGGTTCATTTATCCAATTGACACACGTAATAAGTTGCCTTATGGTATATGCATTTGCCCTCTCTGTTTCAGCTCACGACGTCTACTGGGAAATCGTCAGGTTACGTAAAAATATGTGCCTCGCAAGACTGGGTTTGGTTCTCTCGTGAAATACTTAGGAATACTCACAAAACGTGCCAAAATGATTTTTTTTATGTATAAACTGTTATGGATCTGTTGATGTTAAACCAAAGATTATGTTTTTAGTTGATACAAAGCGGTTGTTATACATGTAAAGTGCAGAATGGGGTAAAAACGGAGGGGAAATGATACCGTATTTTTCTTTATTTCAATCACGTTCAAATAATGTCACAAACTTACTTGAAATTTATATAAATACACCGTGCAACGTTTTTCAATAAGAAAACCAAAGACAATGAATCTGGAAGTATTTGAAATTGCTTTAATAAACTCAGTAGCGGCATTTTGTTTACTAAAATAGGTGGAGTCCGGTCTCCTACTGTCTTTTATAGATCTAAAACTAATTGATAGACGAAAAAACTTTCGAATATTGAAATATATAACGACGTTTTGAAATCTTGCACTATAGTAACAGCCACTTTGCTAGACAATTTTATTATATATATTTTTTCAAGTTAAAATTGTATATTTGTAGTTTAAAAAATACTTTGTGTGCTATATTGTAAAATAAAAGATACATTTTTTGTGTTCGATTATTTTTGTAAATTTTATCCTCATTAAATGTGCCAGCTACATTAAGAAAAGACTATGTGTAGATTTTTTAGTCCAAATTTAATTACAGGAAGAGGAAAATCTAAAGGAAATAGCAAATATGACATTCATGCGCCTTAAATATTCTATAACCCACGATACTGTTAGCACATAAATTAAATCTAACAAAAAATAAAACATCTAATGATCAAAAGAAGAATATAAGCTGGAAAAAGAGAAGCAAAATGTAGACACGATTTACTTTTGTGAAATCATCAAAAGTTGTTGCTGGTTGAATATGTTGACGGTCGAAATTTTTGGCGCATGCGTACTCATTAGTCTAGATATCTACTGGACATAAATATATTTTACGTACTGTAATACTGGTTGCATAATTAACAGGCAGTTACATATAATAGGCGTAGATTATTAATGAAAAAGAAGGTAAAGAACAAATTATCATTGTAGAGAAAGTGCCGATGAAGTTAGCTACAAATTAGTGACAGATTTGTATTTGGCAGTGTTGCCAAATCACGAAAGAGCATGCGATATAATATTAATTAATGTTACATGTTACTAAACATTTTGTTATGTTACTAAACAAGAAGTTTAATTAATTTATTATAATTTAAATTAACTTAAATTTTTTAAGCTTTTATTGAGATACCATTTCATCCCAAAATTATACGAAGTGCAAAAGTGTTTTCAACCAATCAAGTGTTGACATTATTGCCAAGTTTATTTGCTAATCTACCAAAGGTCAATTATAATTTTTTTTTCTAATAACAAACTGCAACTAATATCAAAAGAAACAAATATTCATTCGTTCGTGTTTAATATAAATTTCAAAAATTTTAAAAAATACCCGATTTCATAAAATTAATAATATAATAAAAATGTACTGTTTCAAACATGGACGTATAAACACAGATTTTAAAACATATTTGAAGCATAATTTGACATATCATTTGTAGCTAACTTCATCGGCACTTTCTATATACTTTTGCTTGGATAACTAATAAGGGAACTATTTTATGGACTAATGGTATGTTTATACAAATAGCATAGCCCCTTATTATTATTAAAGCTATATTATTGTGTTTGTGTTCCAATTGGTTATGCAACCAGTAATACACATAAAATATTCTGACTGGATGAGAAAATTTTATGGCCCGTAGGTATATAGACTTGGTATACGCCATTGGAGCAAAGAGTGGAGTATTCTGTGGCCATAGATAAATAATATAATATTAGAAAGTATAGAAAGTAAAATGTCTCATCCATTTTACGATAAGCATCTAAATATCTCGATATCTTTCTATCTATCTATCAAAAAATATTATCTTTAGCAATTAAAAATCCAAAAGTTAACTTTCTTGGTTTTTATGCGTTTTATGCAACCAATAATCCAGTACTTACAGAGTACGTAGCATTCTAGTAAGGTAAGTACTATAGAAAGATTTGTGAGAGTTTCTAGCGCCAAATGCGGACGGGCCAAAACTAATTTTATTTGGCGGCAAATTTAACAAATAGGTTTTGAACAATGACGTATAATCAAGGTTACTAAAAGGGAGGTTGCATGGTAACTCTGACATTGACAGAATGAAATATGACGTGTGACGTCACCCAGGGGTCAATTTTACGAATTGTTTGAAAACAAAATAGGAGAAGTGAATTGGAGAATATATTTTATTGTTAAATATCGTTGGTGCTTTAATTTATGTTAATATCTTGAGATATAATATGTCTATAGATACTATTGAGTGATTGTTAGTATACAACTTGGACTCAAAACTCTTTCTCTTTTTCAGCATGGTTTACCTGTTTGGAGAAATTTATAATAATCCACTAGATGCATTATCCTCAATTCAAAATAATGGAAAAAAGTATAATATTTATAATATTATATATTTACAATCATTGCTGCTTTTCGAGTTCATTTCAAGGAGTAAAGTGAATGAATTTGAATGTAGCATTCTCAGTGACGTCATTCCTGCCGTTATATTTTCGATGCTGATTGGTGTAAAGTTACCAGACAACCTGTCTATTTTTAATAACCTTGGTTTTGAACAATGACGTAGATTTACGTCACTGACCTAACGTGACTACTAGCGCCGTCGCCATTATAAACGGCTGGGCCCATACAATTAACACTCCCCACTTACCCTATTCCACTTACAATACTATTTGTGGTATATACTATGTCATACTTATGCCACCTACCTAGTGTGTTATTCGGACATACATTCTTTCCTGTTAGTTATGCAACCAGTATTCCTCTAGCTATAAGTTTGGAATTTAATGTTACAGCAATATTCTTTTAAAATTGTTTTTTGTCTGTTATCTAAGAATATGTTTGGCATTACTTGAATCCTCATGTTATCCTTACTTACTTCAATCCTTACATAGAAAAGTTACTCACATGGCCTAAAAGGTATTTTGGAAGCTCAATGAAAGTCAGGAATACAAAATAAAGTTGTTTATTAACCCTGTATTTAATTGTACATGAACATAAAGATCAACATTGTATAGGTATCATATATCAGTGTCTAAGAAATGCTTGCTGAAATCAATTAAATACAAAATCAGACAATCATAGTTCGGAAATTTCTTCTTCTGCACTGTTTATTGAAATTTATTAATAGATAAATATTAAAAAATACGATCTTAGTCACTGATAGTTTATTGATCCACAACCTGTAGTACTTATATAGGTACTGAGCAAATCAAAATTGGATTTTGTTCGTTGCTGTAGCTATAAAACGCCCTAAAACAATCAATTGACTCTATAGCATCAATTTTGATTGCCACAAAGACATTTATTATCAAAAAATAATGTTTTTATGAAATATCTTTATCTTAGTGTAAATTAAAAAACGCTTTATCAGCCGATTTGAACAAAAATCTTCCAGCTAATCACCGCCGACTTGTTTCTACTTCCGAACATTTTGAGTGGCATTGATTTGGTTTCTTTCTATACGGTAGAGCACAAACTGAGCATTGATTTCGTTGTCGGTATAGTTAACGACGTTGAAATGACGAAAAATACTAAATTTATATTACGTCATTAAAAATAATAAAAGTTACACATTATAAATAACAAATATATTGAAACTAAATAAACCACATGTATTTTGTAGCAAAATACAAAAAAAAAACAAGTTATCTTCGTTGTTTTGAGCCAGTAAAAAGGAATAACAATAAAAAATAACATTATCAACGCCTATTTCCACATTGAAATCAATTTAGAACATTTTATTGGTGTAATTCAATAAAATTATATTGTTTGCCACTGATTTCTATACCAAAATAGCAATTTTCGTCGTTGATGTAATTAATAATAATAAAAAATACTAAACATACATTGCTTATTAAAAAAAATAACTGAGCAACAATGCCTGATCGATAAAAATGAAAAATAAACCTAAACAAAATATAGCGAACGTCAATTATGATGAGGTTTCTTCGCGGAAGTTTTACAAAAGGACACTTTGGCTTCAGTAAATCGTAGTAAAGAAACAGTAGGCAGGCACAAATCTATCCGCATTGAAGACTGAAACATCCATTTTACGTAAGTTTTTTGGTGGAAATATTTAAGTAAATGAATTTTCCGTACATTTTCAGGAAGAAAATTAAGAGAAATCGATTTTTCAAAAATCTTTTGGTGGAATAATTAGGTAAATACATTTTTCCTGAATCTGTCGTGTTATTTTGCTTACAAAATCTGAATAGGAGTTTTATTAGTGATGATAGAAAAGTATTTGTACGTTTTTTGGAGAAATATTTAGGAAAATCAACTTGACATACGTTTTTTTTTGTAATTATTTAGGTAAATCCATTTCTCGGAGTTTTTTGGAGGAATATTTGGGGAAATTCATTTTAAGTAAGTTTTTTGGTGGAAGTATTTAAGTAAATTAATTTTCCGTACGTTTTCTGGAAGAATATTGAGAGAAATCGATTTTTCAAAAATCTTTTCAAAAATTTCAAATTTTGGTGGAATAATTAGGTAAAAATATTTTTCCTCAATCTCTCACATTATTTTGCTTACAAAATCTGAATGGGAGTTTTATTAGTGATTATAGAAAAGTGTTTGTAAGTTTTTTGGAGGAATATTTAGAAAAATCAACTTAACGTACGTTTTTTGGTAATTATTGAGGTAAATCAATTTTCTCGGCGTTTTTTGGTGGAATATTTGGGGATATCAGTTTTACGTAAGTTTTTTGGTGGAATTATTGAAGTACATTAATTTTCTTTACGTTTTCTATTCGATTTTTTAGTTTTTTGTGGCGTAATTAAGGAAATCATTTTTTTCTCAATGGATAATGATATTTTTCCAAAAAATATATCTGTAGATAATTTATTAGTAAATATATAAAAGTAATTGTATGTTTTCAAGAAAAATATTCAGGAAAATCAACTTGACATTAATGTTTTTTGGTAATTATTTAGGCAAATCCAATTTTTTTAAGTTTGTTGGTGGAATATTTGGGGAAATCCATTTTACATAAGTTTTTTGCTCAAAGTATTTAAGTAAATTAATTTTCCATACGTTTTCTGGAAGAATATGGAGAAAAATCGATTTTTCAAAATCTTTTATTGGAATAATTAGGTAAATACATTTTTTGATTTCGAAAAATCGATTAGAAAACATACTGAAAATTAATTTACTTTAATAATTCCACCAAAAATTTTACGTAAACTGGCTATCCCTAAATATTCCACCAAAAAACTTCGAGAAAATGGATTTACCTAAATAATTACCAAAAAAAAAACGTATGTCAAGTTGATTTTCCTAAATATTCCTCCAAAAAACTTACAACCACTTTTATATCATCACTAATACAGCTCTTATTCAGATTTTGTAAGCAAAATAACACGAATTAATAATTAGCAGATACGACTGGATGAATTTTGAGCTGGCGGTCGTTTCTCATCACTATAATTGACATTCGCTGCATCTCTCGTGTTGCAAAATATAAGAACAAAATGGTTTTTCACATTGCACTACCACTGTTTAGTAGCTTCCTATAAACTACAATGAAATAATTGCTAAATTATGATCAATAATACTTCGATTCTATTGGAGATGTAACTCTAGATCTTCTGGTTTACTTAAACATTTGGGGTATGTAGCAGCACCCGAAACTTTTAAATAAACAAAATAAACATTTATACGAGGGTTTTTGTCTTATATGATGCAACATGCTCCCAAATCTTCAAACATCACACTACAATACCATCAATTAAAAACTATAATCGCTAATATAGCCATTAAAATCACTGCTAATATAAAAAGTATATTAAAAGCTTATGTTCTTTTCTCCTACAATTTCTGTTTCACGTTCAGTTAACTATGCAGCCGTAATTGATAAAATTAACTAGATGTCATTACTTTCCGACAAAAAGGCAACGCTGAATGACCTTTAAATCAGACATTTGTCGAATATTGTAGGCTTATATATAGCAATAAACATATTTTATCACTGTTATAATATTTAATATACTTATAGGCACACTTACAGCAATTAAACCTTACTGCCTGGCATATTTTTGTACATTTAGCCAGAACTGACAAATTACACATCTTGGCAACACTGTGGGGATCTAAATTTTGTGTATAAGCAGGTAAAAAAACGTTATAGAAAGGATATTTGTTAGTTGTAGCGTTTTAGGTTCTTATATTTTTGGATTATAAGGCCTTTAGAAGTTCTTATACAGTACATATATGAATAAATATAATTTATCATCCTTTTAATATGCACTAGACTTATAGGTACATTTACAGCACTCACAACTTTTTTGCTTGACATATAGCGTACATTTACCAAAATTCGATACCTTATACAGCGTGGCAACACTGTCACATCGTAATTTTTTTCGATTGCACACAATTTTGCTTGTTGTATCATATCGATGCTTAAATTTTCATTGTTTTTAAAATTCCTTATACTTCATTACTTTTTCGATGATAAGGCAACGCTGTACCGTCTTGAAAGTGACTTAGGATGACTATAATAGAGAAATGAATATATTTCAATAAATAATAAACTTATAGGCACCCGTACAGCGTTTATACCTTCCTTGAAGACACATTCCAGTACATTCAAAGTATCTCCTAAAATAAGTTATTGAGCCAATTTTTGTTCGTTGTTGAGCATAAATGTTAAAATTTTTATTATTTTTAAAATTACTTATACTTCATTACTTTTTCGATGATAAGGCAACACTGTACTGTCTTGAAAGTGACTTGGGCCGACTTTTGTAGAGAAATGAATATGTTTCAATAAATAATAAACTTAGGCACTCTTACAGCGTTTAATTCTTCCTTAACGACACATTAAAGTACATTTAGCGAGAAAAAAGATGTTATAAAGCTTGACAACACCTTCAAACTGTAAATTTTGTGGGCAAGTATCTACTAAAAATAAGTTATTGTGCCAATTGTTGTTCTTTGTTGAGCGTAGATGTTAAAATTTTCAATATTTTTGAAATTCCTTATACTTCATTACTTTTCCGAGGATAAGGCAACGCTGTACTGTTTTGAAAGTGACTTGGGACGACTTCATTATTTTTGAAATTCCTTATCTTTCATTATTTTTTCGAAGATGAGGCAGCACTATACAGTGTTGAAAGTAACGTGTGAGAAATATTGTAGAAGAAAACTGCATAATAGACTTATAGGCACATTTACACAGTTAAATTGACATGTCTGGCATTTTCGTGTATTTTTAATAGAACTTATATATTATTCAACTTGGCAACACTGTAGAATTGTAAATTTTGTTATTAAACAGGTAAAAAATTGCTGAAAAAGTTGTTATGCTGTTCTAATCCGTTGTGTTATATGTATATGTAGGTCTTAAAGTTTATTTACGTCTTTTAGAACCACCGAAGGAATTTTTGGGTGTACAAGACAAGTACGGGTATCAAATGTGTTTCAAAAAATAATACTAGACGATATATTTGGCAGTTTGGTAGGAAAAACGATTCCTATATACCAATAATTATATACTAATGCCCAAAGTGCAGGCATATACCAACAGAGCCTCAGTGTTGCCAGATATATCATTCCGGCATAATGTCTGTATATGCCAGGCAAAAAACCTACACCTTTGTACTTCTCTCACATCATCATATAAATATCACAACTCACAACCTTCAAAAATAGAGTCCGAAAAAGTTTTTTACTCGCACAGCCAGTCACAAGGCAACTTGGGCATTTTGCTGGCAGGCCAAGGCAGGTAACCGGCGGTTTTGAACACCCAGTAATCGTAAGACACTTTGGTTATAAGGCTGATCAGTAAGAACACTTCTGCGGCTATTATCCAGTAGATGTAGTCCGTCCAATCCTCGTGGCTCCTACAATACTTGGACGGATCCATATTGATCACGCTAATGTCGGTACCTTCGCATTTGATCTCACGGTAATCTGTGATGAAATCCGACTTGGTCTGCAGCCACATCTAATGTAAAAAATAAATTTTGAGTACCTTAGCAAAGTATTAGCAAAAGTGTCCTAATTCTCTCAGTTTCTATCAATAAATAATTAATTCAACTTTGATCAAATTAAAGGCAGATATTGAGTACAGTTTATTAATTAAATTTTGCCCAAGTACTTTCGCTTCCTAGAGCATCTTCAGTCTTAACGAAAATATTAAGGTGAGATGTGACATATGACAGCTTGGATGGACAGTCACAATCATGGTGATGTGATCTGTACATTTTAAAGTTCTATGAAACTGAGCATTGACCAAAGGTATAATTGACAATACTATAGGAAATAAACTGATGAAATATGAAATTATATAGAATATTTGAAGTAGATTGCATCATCCAGATCTCACACTCAAACCTGTCTATAATAATTAGGATGTTAGTTTGTGGGCAACTGAAGTGGACTTAGAGTATGAATGCAAGAAATAGACTAAACAATCTCTTAGATAGAGGCTGGTTGACTTAGCAAATTGCTTTTTATCATCGGGATCATTGCAAGTTATGATCCCAACAATATCCATAAGCTTCTAAATAGAGCTAAACTTAAAATTGCAGAAACGTTTGCATATTCATCACAATGTTTGCTTCAACCCAATGCTTCAAATAAAACCAGATATTTCTCGTTTACTTATAATAGCAACATTTCCAATAAAATATCAAAATTGTTTACTTCTAAAATTCAAAGCATCAAAATTTTCACATTTAATTTCAATTTCATTTCAATTTTAAAAGTCACACAACACTTTAAGTTCCTTTTTAATCAACACCAAAGGCAGGATGAACACACTTGACAAAAGTGGTGTTATAAATTAACATGTGATGATTGTGATGCCTCTTATGTAGGTAGAACCATTCGAAAATTATCTACTAGAATTTCAGAACATTTGAAAAGATCAAACTCTTCAAGTTTTGGTCAACACTTATTATCCAGTAAACACAATTTTAACATCAATACTGGTTCATCTATTTTACATGACATTAGTAAAAAGAAAAACTACTTGGAGTTGGATTTATTGGGAGATTTGGAAGTTACAAAGGAAACAAATGGAAACTCTCACTGTCTTAATACTCAAATTAATTTAAATTGTACTAAAGGCTATAACAGAATAAGATGGTCAAAAGTGCCCCCGCACCGATCAGCACCGCGATTTATGCTTTTAATAAAGCATATAAAAAACATGACTTCATACAAATTTTTAGCTTCCCAGAGCCCATAGAACCTCTTAAATCTAAAAAAGAAGCTTTTTTCGGCTTTATTTTTTTTCTGCACGTAATTTTGCTTTAAAAAATCTGAAAAAAATTCATGAAGATGTAAGCAAATAGCCCGTAAGAAAATATATGGAAAAGCATACAGCTATCTGATTTTGAGGTAAGGTAAAAAAGGATAAAAAACGTGGTATTTTTTAATTTTATCTTTACGAAAGAGTTAAATGGGGACTTTTACAATAGATTTTGGTAATGTGGAAGAAAAAATGTTGAATTATCAACTGAGTTTTGAGCTTATGTCAAAATAAATGAGTAAAAAAACAGTAACTGAAAATTCTGCCTTGGCCATTTAAAAGAACGAAAAAAAAAATACATAAAAAATTACTATTATTATTATTAAATTACTACTAAAAAGAAACACAGCTCTTATACTTGCGTCTGGATAAGATCGGGCGTTGTCCAGCAACAACAAAGCTTTCGGAGGCAGATTTTTTTAGGTAGGCATCAATGACTGGTAAGAAGTCATCAAAAAGCCAGTTATTGAAAATGATACACTCGATCCATGTATTGCGTTGGTTTTATAGGTTGTAGGTAAGCAATTCACTTGGATATGTTTGAATGCCTTTGGATTTTTGGATTTTCCTACTAAAAGAAATATTAATTCTAATAAATCATAAACATTGTTGCAGATCATGATTGTGACTCTCTACATGGTATTCGTGTAACTTGGTGCATTTCCTTTATTTTTAGTCTTTTCCAAGAAAGCGTTTTATAATTAAGGCATGCCTCATCACAGTTAAATATTTGGTCTAAAGTCAGTCCATCTTTAAGGATAATGTATTGTAATTTTTAATAAAATATTCCAATTTCAATTGAATCAGCAAAAAGTTATTGCCTTCGTGTTCTTCAAGTTCCACTGCTATCGAAGATTGGAAATCATTCTGGCAATTATAATTTTGTTGGTTACGCGCTTGAATAGTTCAATTGAACTGCATCCAAACCATTGCGTAGCCACGAGATTTTACGTCTTATCATCATACATCGAAGCATTTTTATCCGGAGCGATATATTGATATCGCGATTACAAAAAAGTTTTCTCGTTCTATTAAAAGTTGACCGTGCAATTTCAATCTGTCATTCGAATGACAAATAATAGATGGAATGGAGACCAAGAGATGATGCCTAGCGAAGCAGAGGTTGGCACCAACACGTTGGACTGACGATCTAAAACGTTGTCATGAGAACTGGATGCAAGAGGCACAAGATCGAAATAGATGGAAAATTATGAGGGAGATCTATGTCCAGCAGTGGATAAGCGAAGATTGAATGATGATGTGCAATTTCAATGCGGCATCTTATTTCTTTTGTCTGATCAGTATCTTCTGTGATCCATGCTCCAAGGTATTTGTACGAAGATATTTGTTCAATTTCTGTATTATCTAGTACTAGCTTAAGTTTGATGTTTTGTGCTTTTGTAAATACCATGAACTTGGTTTTCTTCAAATCTATTTTTAGTCCATAATCGTTGCAATATATATTTAGTTGTTCAGCAAGGTGTTGCGGTTCTTCTAGTGTTTATACCAGAATGACGGTGTCGTCAGCATATCTTATGTTATTAAGTGGCTCACCGTTTATTATAAGGCCCTCACTGATCTCGGCAAGCGCTAATTCTGAGATGGCTTCACTGTATAAATTGAATAACAAAGGTGATAAAATACACCCTTGGCGGACCCCACAGCGAATCTGGATACACTCGGTCAGTTCATTTTCAACTTTCACTTTTGCTGTTTGGTTCTAATAGAGGTTACATATGATTCTAATGTCTCTACTGTCTATGTTTTTATTTAATAAAATGTCTTTAAGATTTCTTTAAGTTTTGCCACTAAGATTCAATTGTCTGATACCATATTTCTTCTTCCATAAGTCAATTCATCCCTCCCTAGCACAAAAGTTTTGTCCTCCATCCATAAATTTATTGTGTGGAATTCAATATCTTTTGCTTGGAGTATTGGACCACTTATCGGGCTGTCTAATCCTCTCATTTGTGAAAACCACAAGAACACTCCCACCACTCACACTTGGGTTGACCCACTGTTCGATTTCGTTCGATGTTGTAGACAAAACACTACACAGAACTTTCTAGAAATAAGGAAATGACCAACTTGGGAGATTGTGACTCACCAGCTACGACTTTTGCCTCGGTTAACCAAGGGGCTCGTATAATCGCGAGTGTACTGTAATTTCATATTTCATCAGTTGATTTCCTATAGTTGTGTTAGTTGGACCTTTGGTCAATGCTCAGTTTCATAGAATTTTAAAATGCAGATCACATCAACATGATTGTGACTTACCATCCAAGCTGTCATATGTCACATGTCACCTTAATATTTCCGTTAAGACCAGAAGCCATTCTCTCTCCTGATGCCAATCAACATGTAGCTTCGCCGTTTAAAAAATTAAAATTAAAATGTTTGTCCTTGTGTCCTATGTCATGTAGTGTTATTCTACAATTTTATGTTTATGACATTCTCAAAGATTGATGGATAGGCCAAATTTGATGAAGTAAGTCTAAAACTGTAGCGATTATAGAATGATAAGCCTTATGAGCCACACTTTAAAAATATTTCTACGCATCATCCACAGTAGAATCAGAGATAAATGTGAAAGACCAGGATGAAACACAATTTGGCTTCAGAAATGGACTGGGAACTCGGGACGCCCTCTTTGCACTAAATGTATTACTGCAGAAATGTCGAGATCAAAGGAAAGACGTCTTTGCTGTATTTATTGACTATGAAAAGGCCTTTGATCGAGTACAGCATCACAAATTAATTACAATATTAAAAGATAAAGGAGTTGATAGTCAAGACATACGATTCATAGAAAAGTTATACTGGCGTCAAACAGCGACAGCTTGCATAAACGGAAAATCAACAGAAATATGTAAAATACAAAGAGGTGTCAGACAGGGTTGTATACTATCCCCACTGTTATTTAATTTATATTCAGATAGAATATTTAAAGGAGCGCTGCATAATTTGGAATAGGGCGTGAAAGTTAATGGAATTCTGATAAATACAATCAGATATGCAGACGATACAGTTATTTTAAGTGATGACATGAATGGATTACAATGCCTTTTAAATGCCATTGATAAAGTGGGAAGAGAGTTTGGCCTAAACATAAACTGTTCAAAAACAAAACACATGGTGTTTAGCCGTTTAGCACATCAAGATACACGATTATATGTTAATGGTCATATAATTCAAAGAGTGTCCAGTTTTAAATATCTTGGTTGCCATATTACTGAACAACTAGATCCAGATCAAGAGATAAAATGTAGAATCGAGATAGCCCGGACGACATTTTTAAAAATGAGGTCATTCTTCTGTAATGATAACTTGCAACTTCAACTTCGAAAGCGCATGGTTAAATGCTACATTTGGTCAGTCCTCTTATACGGTGGCGAAGCATGGACATTAAAAATATTCACGATTAATCGTCTGGAGGCCTTTGAGATATGGCTGCACAGACGTATACTAAAAATTCCATGGACGGCTATGCTGACAAATGTGGCAGTCCTTGAAAGAGCAAATGCTGCTCGCGAGCTGCTTGATAACATCAAATGTAGAAAGATGGCCTATTTTGGACACGTAGTAAGGGGAGACCGATATAATATTCTTCAACTTATTATGATGGGTAAAATCGAAGGACGCAGAGGAATTGGTAGAAAGCAGGCCTCTTGGTTGAAGAATATCAGGGAGTGGACAGGAATAAAGAAAGCTGAGCAACTATTTAGAATAGCTCGAGACAGTGACAGTTTCGCCATGTTAATCGCCAACGTCAAGGGGACTTGATAGGGCACGTTAAGAAGAAGAAGTCTAAAACGTTATATTACATAAAAAAACTTTTATCAACCATCAACTTCGAGTTTTTTATCGAAGTAAATTAATTTTCTTCAGTTGAAAAAACGTTTTTTGGCTTATTTCAGATGCCTCTGAGGATGCACTAGGAAGTGAAAGTACTTAGGCAAGATTTAATTAATAAACTGTGCTGATCAAAGTTCATTTATTCGAGCATTCAAGCTTATATCACTTTAAATAACTAATTTCTCATTTTCGACCCGAGAATTTTTTTACTTCACCGTAGTATACCTTCTAATACTTTACCTTGAAGTCCGTTATAGTAGTGCAATCACAAGTTAACTCATTCAATCCAAGATAAACTTTTCTCATACTTATAGACGATCTGTAAAACTCCAATAAATAAGGATCGATCTGAAATACAAAAGAGAAAGTCAAAAATATTTTGTGTTATTACATAATAATAAATTATCCTAGACATACTGGCAGTGATCGTGTTAAAACAATTTAGAGCTAACTTCAGAGAAATTAGTGTGACGTCACAACAACAGAATAATATATGAGTCTGTATTATTGGTTGCATAAATTCAGTACTTACGTTTTTTATTTTGTTGTTTCGTAAACTGAGCATTTCGAAATTACTTTTGAACACAGTGCCTTCTAAAGGTTCTATCGAAGTGATTTCATTGTTGTCGGCCATTAAAATCCGCAAATGTTGATAAGACGGATCGTTCAATTCTTTCAAGGATGATATCTACAAAATTTGAAATATTAAAATAATATCAAGAGTAATCGAAAAAATAGAATAAAAATTTTTGACACTTTCACCAGAATACACTTCCATGTACAGATATTTTCGTTTTGTTTTTTCGTTTTGTGTCATTTCTGCTTTACACTTTGTTAGTTGGTTGTTTTTTCGTTTTTTGTGCATAAATATTTTTTACTGAACCAACTTTATAACTACAAAAACCTTATTCAGTGTTTTAGGTTATGTTTGGTTAAATTTTCTCATAGACATAATAAACCAAAAAGACTGACAGGCTCGTTGCCTTAGTGTGACAGAAAAAACGCACAAAGTTCTTTTGAAATTGTATAATAAAACAAGTTGGCAATATTCACAAGGTGTCAATTCCTTCTTCTTTCTTCGAATTCCAATATTTTCCGTCCTCATATTGTAGCGTTTTAAATTTTCATATTTAATATCTATATAATAATATAAATCCTGTTTCAAATTTTGTAGTACGCTTCTGAGTTGTTTTAAGCGTTTGTCATTTATAAAGGAATTTTAAAACGATGAATATTTATGGCGTCTAAAGGCCCGTTTTCACGCTACGTCTTATTGTACGTTTTGTTGGTCATATAAAACGTACGACAAAACGTACGTTTTGTCCAGTGTATACACACTATGTGTTTCCTTCCGACAAGACGTACGTTTTGCTGTTTACATGCCACGTTTTATTGTATAGGATTTGTCCTATCTAACAAAACGTACAATAAGACGTAGCGTGAAAACGGGACTTAAAGTTGAGATTCTTAAATATGTAATAAAGCTGAGAATATTTTTTGTCTTTGTTTACATTCGAGCCCACAAATATTCCGGTTCTTAGAAAAAATATTGCAAGTCAGATATCCAATTTTTCTACCACGCAATAAAACTGGGAATATTTCCAGGTTGTTACAAACAGACAGTTGTCGAGGGTATTTGTTTGTTTAGGTTAGTAGGCGTCTGATTGCGAGACTTAAGGGGAAATTTATTTACGCTGAAATTTTAAAACTGAACGCAGGGACAGTGAAGCCGGAGAACAGTCGATACATCTTTTTTTGTGTGTGTAATGTCTTAAGACCGGTTAAGGTGTTATGATAATACTCTTTGCATAATGCAGTTTAGAAGAGAGTAATCATCGAAAGATTTATGTAGTATACCGGAAACTGATGGAATTTTGAAAAGCAACATATAGGTTGTCCCACTGGCTTTGTTGTGTTTGTCGTCAGCTTGCTTCCTCCACCGAACCTGAACTACTTCTTAGATTGTCGTTCCTGAGTATGGAAATGTTCCAGTTGAGAGTTTTGTCCTTGCAGTTCCAATCCCAGAGATAGTAGCAAGTTTTTTTCAAAGTTAAGTGGCAAAGTTTGTGAAATTAAGGTAACGTTTAATATATTAATTTTTCCAAGTTATATAGACATTTTTAGTAATTGCTTTCATTAAAAATTAAAAGAATTTGTAATATTTAAAATTTTATATTGTATTAGAGGCGTGGCCAAGAAAATGTCATAATTTATTCTGTATTGCAATGTTATGTTGACATATGACTTTTAGCTCTAATCTGTTGTTGTAAACAATTTTAATTTGATAAAGAAAAGATATTTTATATATAAGGTTAAGTTTTACGATATTTTCATAACAAGGATATCCTTAATTTTTAATATTCTATTTTGGTCATATTAATAGGAACCTTTTCGAAAATTTTTGTAGCAATCTCCTTTGTGCACAGATAAGCACGTAAGTTTTTGTTAATTTTTGTATTATGCTTATTGAGGTAAGCAAAATATTTTGTTACAATATCACAATTTTAATTTGTGTTGTGCTGAATATTGAATTGAAACTTTCTTCTCTAACGAAATCTCAGTCTCAAGAAAGCAATCTTCTGTCTTCTTATCTTTATCTTTCTTTCCTCTTTCTCAAGAAAGCAGTCCCAATTGCTTCTCCGTGCTCCTATATTTAGGTTGTATATTGTAAGAACACTATACTTACAATACCATTAGAAATTACAAAAGATTCGTTAGTGCCGTAATAAGTACGGTCAAAAAGCATATACCAAAAGAGTACATTCCTGGTGGGTCCCATAACAGCGAAGAACTATACCAAAATTTTCTTGAAAGCAGTGATCAAGAATTAGCCAATAAACTGCACCATAGCCTAGAAGGTAGTGGGTAGATACTGTTCTACGATCCTGGTGAAAAATAGGTCTATTTCAAGGAAGCGTCCCTGTCCACGCGAGCCATACTTTACTCTCAATTCCTTACTGAGAGAAATCATGTCCCATTCCTGTATCCTTCCAAAATCTAGTTTCCTACTTCCTATCCCTCCCTGGTGAAGGAGATCATCAGTAACAGTTGAAGGCGTAGAGAAAATGATCCTGGGCCAACTTGAAACTGGATTACCATAAGCATGACTAAAGCAGTTTAAATGGTTGTGGCACTGCGATGAGGAAGGAGAAAACCACCTCATTATATTTTCTACAAATCTAAATGACAAACAAGAAAAAGAAAATGGCCCTCTGTTCGACGCACCCCTTAAATGGGGAGAGGGTGCGAAGAATCCCCCCGTCAACTACTCAAGAAAGTGGACAGAGAATACAAATATACGACCGTATAGTACGCATTGACACCTGGAACGTACGCAGCTTATTTATGTTCGGGAAACTGGCAAACACTGAAGCTGAGATGATAAGACTGAAAATAGACATCGTGGAGATGAGTGAAGTAAGATGGACTGGTTCAGAAGTACAAAAAACAAAACATGGATACATATATTATTCAGGTGGAACCGACCAGAACATGAATATGGAACTGCTATATTAATGTCGAACAAAATTGCTCAATCAGTTACAATTTTCATCTCTCTAAATCAGGGGTGCTCAAACGGTCGATCGCGATCGACTGGTCGATCGCGAGTGCTTTTTGGGTAGATGTCGAGAAGAAAAAATTTTTTAATAAGTAGGTAGGTAACTAAACTACTACAGCAGAGTTAAACGTTTTTATTAATATTGAACTATACAAATACATAGAATGCTTGACTAAGCATCATTGCAATTCAAAGAAGTGGGGACAACAAAATACTGTCCACACAGCATATTTTATATTTACATATATTAACTAATTATTTTATTAATTCAATATTTAATTATAATTATTAATCAAATTTGGGATGATCAACTACAAAAATGTATTACGTAATAAAATAACACTGCTTACGGCAAAAGGTGGCTTTATCAAAGGAACACGAGGCACGTGTTGTTTCTAGACGAGTGACAGTACAGTCTAGTTTTGGGCGGCGCGTTTGACGGGAACATTCGAAACTTTCGTTCACGCCGATATAAATGTTGCGCCTGCAGGAATTGGAGTTATTCTAAATTGTAACTTGATAGCGATCCTATGTCGATAGAAAGTTTATTATTAAATATGAGTGCAGTGAAGAAATCTAAAACGTATCATTTTAATAAGGATTGGGAGGAAAATTTTTCTTTTCTATGGTGAAGGATAAGTGCATTTGTGATATTTGTCGTGCGTCAGTTGCAACACCTAAGCGTGGTAACTTAGAGAGGCATCATAAAACGGTTCATAAAAACTATGAAAAGGATTTTCCGCCACAGAGTGAATTAAGAAAACGAAAAGTAAGTGATTTGAAATCTTGTTTGAAAAAAGAACAATCCATGTTCACAAGACCAGCCAAACAATCTAAAGCTGCTACGATCGCGTCATTTAAAATATCTCATATTTTGGCGAAACACAAAAAAACCATTTGAAGATGGATCGGTGGTGAAGGAAGCATTTATTGAAGAGGGTGAGACTTTATTTGAGATTTTAAAAATAAAACAGAAATCATGTCTACTATTAGAGAACTTCAGTTATCTCGTCCGACTGTCACAAGGCGTATTGAAGTATTGAGTCAAGACATCGCAGATAAACTAAACCATGATATCATGGAATGTACATTCTTTTCTTTACAGTACGACGAATACATCGATATGATAAACACTGCCCAGCTGTGTATTTTTATTCGGATAGTATTCAATGACATGTTGGCTAAGGAAGAATATTTGACAATCATTCCTCTGAAGGGGAAGATCCGTAGCGACGATATATATGACGTTTTCTTAAATTTTGTAAAAAAGTACGAGCTACCAATATATAAATTAATGTGCATTACAACCGATGGAGCACAAGCAATGACTGGAAACAAAAACGGTTTTGTGGCATTGTGTCGAGCTAATGAAGAATTCCCTTCATTTTTTTCATTCCATTGCATTATACATCAACAAGTTTTGTGTTCAAAAGTTTTAAACACGGAGGAAATTATGGGCATTTTAACAAAAATTGTGAATTCCATCCGTGCACGTAGCCTGCAACGGCGGCTCTTTCAGTTGCAGTTGGAAAATAGGGAGTCAGCTGAACACACTGATTTAGTTCTTCACACGGACGTCAGGTGGTTGAGTCGCGGAAAATTCCTAGAAAGGTTTCAAGAATTATTGCCCGAAATAACAGCTTTTCTAGACGAAAGAGGTGATGACACTCAGATTTTGAAAAACGAAAAATGGCTAAATGATTTGGCATTTTTGACTGACATCACAATACACTTAAACACCGTTAACTTGGAGTTTAAAGTTAAAGAAAAACTATTATTGAGATGATTACCGCAGTAAACGCATTCAAAAGTAAATTGCAACTTATGATAGATCAACTGAAAAGAAAGGATCTGAAACATTTTCCGTCTTTGAAAGCAAGGATTCCTCAGTTGAATTATGATACGTATGAGGCTGAATTATCAAATATTTTGGGACAATTCGAAATGCGTTTTTATGATTGCAGTAAATTGGAAAATATAGCACCGTTTATGAGTTATCCTTTTTCATGTAAAAACATTGAGGAATTAGCTACTGAAATAGCAAGTCAGTTTAATATGAACTCATGTTCTGTTGAAAATGAGTTGGTGCAGATTATATCAGATATACATCTCAAAGCTACAGTATCTGATACAAATTTCTGGCGTTTTATATCTGAAGATAAAATATCCGAATGTAAGGCAAATCGCCCTTCAACTGACGGCATTTTTTGGGTCAACTTACTTGTGCGAGTCTGCATTTTCTGAAATGAAGATAATTAAGTCAAAATATCGCAATCGACTAACTGACGATCATATGACATCATGCTTGCGATTAGCACTCAGTGGTTACGTACCATCTTATGAAAAGTATGCTGAGGACATGCAGTGCCACGCTTCAACATCCAAAGCCACTCCTTAGTTAAGTTTAACACCATATGTAACTCTTTTGTTTTGTAACAACAAATAAACTCGCAATTTTAAATAACTATGAGTTTTTTCATTGATATTGTAGAGAAGAACCTAACTAAACCTAACCCAAACCTTGACTAAAATAATGTACCTATATTGTGCAGAAAGCTAATATCTATATATGCTACGGTACGCCCTACCTAAGTTGGTAGGGTGTATCGTGTATGTACGACAACCCTGCATCACACACACTTGCAGTCTCTCAGAGTCGATCGTAAGTAGTCTAAAAATATTGAGGTGGATCGCCAGCTGTTCAAGTTTGAGCACCCCTGCTCTAAATGATAGAGTAGCAATGTTGAAATTACAAACACCTCACAGAAAACTAAATATTATTCAGGTCTTTGCTCCAACAAGTGACAAGTCAGACGAAGAAATCGAAAAAATCTATAAAAACATAGATGAAATAATGCGTCTGACAAAAAGAGGTAAGATAACGATATGATCATTTCGATACCGCTGCTCTACAGAGGTCAGCAGAACTGCAATTAAACCAAGCTCTCAAATTGTTTAACCAATAGGTGAGTCTTCTTCCGCGACTCCTTCTACCCTGTATTCTTCCTTGCATTATTAATTGTTAAAACAAGTTATAGTAGCTGTTCATAATTGTCCATATCTGTCAAGTGTCATACGATAAATAAAAACTATACTTACACTATTATTAGAAACATCTAAGGCGACAGTATACGGTGGTAAAGGCTTCGGTAAGTAGTGCAAATTAGTGCTTGGGCACTCGACAGATACGGTATACACCCGGGGTTGCCCCATGCCAAGGGTCAAAGAGTGAGGCTTGCAGGTACAGTTTTTGATGCAATTGTTTTCCAGCTAAAATAAAAACTCGATTTAGGCTGTGTTCCAATTACATTTGGATAGATTAAGTTATATGAGATTGGGTTGAATTAAGTGAGGTTAGGATAGATTATGTAAGATTAAAAGAGCACGGAAGTGAATAAATAAGAGAAATTATCAACTACTTATTGCTATAACTAATTATTCATTATTAAATGCTGGAAGATCGCATAATTAAGAAATAACAGATATTTATGACATGAAAGATAAAAACGAAGATAATTTGCGTAAATATCATACCTCGTGAGCTCTTCGTAGCTCCGATACGGCAACTTGATCTTTGGCATCAAACCATCCGAAAGTTTTCGTGGCAATTGAGCAATACGTTGAGTTTTCGTTTTTAAACGATATCTTTGATTTGTTAAAAGTCTCTCTTACGCTTGTGCATTGTATAGAAGGATTACCTGAAATAAAAACATCTCTCTGAGAAGTAAGAACTTCTCGTATTACCCTCGTATAACATCGTCTACGAATACGAGGGTAATATGAAAAGTTCTTTTATCAATTTTATCTTTTTTCGCGACAAGCGGTTTCTAATTAGATGTTTGTTAATATTAGCAGGAAAAAGGAGCTAAATCTGGTAAACTAGAGAGATTTTTTATAATTAGTTCATTTTTTTCTTACCCAAAATATCCAACGTCACTGCTCCGTACATCTTAAAGTTGGGCACTTCTGTCAAGTTATTGTGAGACAAATCTAGAAAACTTAGATTAAAGAGGTTGAACAAGGACCTCTTCTGGAATTCCCTTATACCATTTGAGGATAAATTTAGACAGGAGACCATCGTCATTTTAGGAAAGGCCTCGCTGACGTTTTTTATACGGCCATCGGTGATGGCCATGGTCCTTAGGTTTTTCCATTCGGCTAAGTTGAGGTTCAGGACTTCTAGTGTGGCGTTTTGTATGTGCAGGGCTTCTATTTCGTTTTGAATCAAATCTGGAAGGTGAAATAAAAATGTTTTGGTGCAATTTTGAGCGTTTTAAAGAATAAGAAAGTAAGTCTTTGGTTATGAGGTATCCAGAAGCAGAATCTACGTAAAATCACTTTTAAAAAAAGTAAGAACTTAAGATACTAGATGGTCTAATACTAGAAATATGCAAGACATAGCTGATTTTTTATGTGGACTTTATAAAGCGAATCTTCTTCTTAACGTGCCCTATCAAGTCCCCTTAACGTTGGCGATTAACATGGCGAAACTGTCTCTGTCTCGAGCTATTCTAAAGGGTTGCTCAGCTTTCCTTATTCCTGTCCACTCCCTGATATTCTTCAACCAAGAGGCCTGCTTTCTACCAATTCCTCTACGTCCTTCCTCTTACTACGTGTCCAAAATAGGCTATCTTTCTACATTTGATGTTATCAAGCAGCTCGCGAGCAGCATTTGCTCTCTCAAGGACTGCCCCATTTGTCAGCATAGCCGTCCATGGAATTTTTAGTATACGTCTGTGCAGCCACATTTCAAAGGCCTCCAGACGATTAATGGTGGATATTTTTAATGTCCATACTTCGACACCGTATAAGAGGACTGACCAAATGTAGCATTTAACCATACGCTTTCGAAGTTGAAGTTGCAAGTTATCATTACAGAAGAATGACCTCATTTTTAAAAATGTCGTGCGGGCTATCTCGATTCTACATTTTATCTCTTGATCTGGATCTAGTTGTTCAGTAATATGGCAACCAAGATAATTAAAACTGGACACTCTTTGAATTATATGACCATCAACATATAATCGTGCATCTTGATGTGCTAAACTGCTAAACACCATGTGTTTTGTTTTTGAACAGTTTATGTTTAGGCCAAACTCTCTTCCCACTGTATCAATGGCATTTAAAAGGCATTGTAGTCCATTCATGTCATCACTTAAAATAACTGTATCGTCTGCATATCTGATTGTATTTATCAGAATTCCATTAACTTTCCCGCCCCATTCCAAATTATGCAGCGCTTCTTTAAATATTCTATCTGAATATAAATTAAATAACAGTGGGGATAGTATACAACCCTGTCTGACACCTCTTTGTATTTTACATATTTCTGTTGATTTTTCGTTTATGCAAGCTGTCGCTGTTTGACGCCAGTATAACTTTTCTATGAATCGTATGTCTTGACTATCAACTCCTTTATCTTTTAATATTGTAATTAATTTGTGATGCTGTACTCGATCAAAGGCCTTTTCATAGTCAATAAATACAGCAAAGACGTCTTTCCTTTGATCTCGACATTTCTGCAGTAATACATTTAGTGCAAAGAGGGCGTCCCGAGTTCCCAGTCCATTTCTGAAGCCAAATTGTGTTTCATCCTGGTCTTCTTCACATTTATCTCTGATTCTACTGTGGATGATGCGTAGAAATATTTTCAAAGTGTGGTTCATAAGGCTTATCATTTTATAATCGCTACAGTTTTTTGGAAGCTGTTTTTTTCGTAGTGTTATGAATTCGGACTTTAACCAATCTTCAGGGATATTACCAGTCGAATAAACATCATTGAACTGCTTGACCAGTATTCCAATGTTCTCCTCATTTATAAGCTTTAACATCTCTGTCGGTATGTTATCAGGGCCAACAGCTTTCTTGTTCTTTGCATACTTTATAGCATGCAGTATTTCTGATTTTAGTATTTCTGGTCCTTCACCTTCAACTAAAGTCTCCAGTTCTTCGGGTCTATCATCATTATACAGTCCACTTATATAATTACACCAGGTTGTTCGAATTTCATGTTCGTTTATTATCATTTTTCCCGACGAATCGGTTATAGTATGTGGAGTTTTTTTATGATAAAGACCAGCTACTTCTGTAACTTTTTTTTCTCTAATTCCTTGCATTTATCCTCCATCCATTTTTCTTTAGTAACGTTTATTTTTTGTTTAATTAGTTTCTGTTTTTCCTTATATTCTGTCTTGTTACCTTTCAGTTTCCTTATCTGCTCCATTAATTCCAGGATTTCATCAGTCATCCATTGTTGTTTTTTGTGCCTGTGTAACGTTGTTGAATATTTTTCTATTACTTTCAAGGTAAGATCTTTAAATGTGTTCCATATTTCTGTGTTGTTTTCATTTATTGGTTTCTTTAGCTCATTGTTTAAGTCATTTTCTATTAACGTTTTGTTGGATATTGAGATATTTAATTTTGGTGTTTTGGGGCTTTCTTGGACTTTTTTGAGCTTCACTTTGATGTCAGTTATTACAGGGTTATGATCTGAACCGATATCAGCATCAGGATATGTCGTTACTCTGGTGACGCCATTCTTAAATCTCTTGTTTACCAGAATATAGTCTATCTGATTTCTAATCATATCTAGTGAATTATCTCCTGGTCCCCTCCATGTGTATAACCTTCTTTTGTGTAATTTGAACCATGTATTTGCGATTATCATGTCATGTTCTTGACAGAACTGGTATAATCTATCGCCTCTTTCATTGCTTTCCCCTAGTCCATATTCACCTACCAGCTCAGATCTTCGGCCTTGGCCAATTTTTGCGTTAAAATCTCCAATGATATATGTGACTTCGTTACTTTTTAGATTTTTAAGTGTCTGTTTTAATTGGCTATAGAATGATTCGACATCATTGTCGTATTTCTTTTCTGCAGTAGGGGCATATATCTGGATAACATTGACATTAAATGGTTTGCTATTTAATTGGAGTATTGCTAGTATGTCGTTCACTGGTATAAAATTTTTCACATATTTCTTAAATTTACACGTTATAAATATGCCAACTCCATTCCTATGATATGTGTCATCTTCTACACTTCCAGAATAGTATAGTGTGCCTTCATTTTGTTCACATATTCCCGTTCCAGGGAATCATAAAGCGAATAATCTGAAGAAATACAAGGCAGTAGGTTATTGCAGAAGAAATACGAACATAGGCAAAACTTGGAGAACTTGGTCAATCATGGAGAAAGATATTAGTCAAAAGTAGAATCCACATATACTGCAAACTACCTTACATACAATTCAAAGCTGGTCGCAAAACACGGGTTTTCTGTTCTCTAGTGAAAAGACACGTTATTTAATTTTTAGCAAAAGAAAAAAATAATCTTAATGTTTCCATTAACACTAAATGGTGTTGTCCTGAAAGAAGCAGAAAAAAATAAATACCTTAGACTTTCTTTTGAACGTAACTTAAATTGAAAAAGCCACATAACCAATCTGCAACGTTCTTGCCAATCCAGAATTAATCTACTAAAAATGCTGTCAAATGCCTCTTGGGGGCAGATACAACAACCTTATTTACTCTATACAGATCACAAATACGAAGTAAACTAGACTACTACGCTGTTTATGTTACGATACTGCTAACAAAATATCTTAAAAAAAACTTGACTACATTCAAAATATGTGCTTGAGATTAGGTTTAGGTGCCACAAGAACTAGTTCAGTAAGTAGCTTAAAAGCTCTGGCTAATAAACTGCCCTTAAGGCAACTCCTATCACTAAATTACGTTGCCAGAATTTCAGGCATCTACGAATCCTAACAAATTGTTTTATATATACCGGAGAACTTACGGCAAATCACCAGGCCATGAAAAAATGTGGTTCTATCAATTAAATCGATTCAATGAGCGCATTACTTGGAATAAAACAGCTATATATAACTCACGCCATACTTCTCAAGATCAAAGAAGAGTTATCTTATCTACAGACTCAACAAAAAGATATTTCCTTCATCTGGGTACCTTCCCATATGGGAATAAGTGGTAATGAGGAAGTGGACTCTCTGGCAAGCAATGCAACCACCGACCAAAGTATTGCTATCATAAATCAAATGCCTTGGACTGATCACAAAGTAAATATCAAAGCCCACATGTACAGAGCGTGGCAAACTACTTGGGATCACACTGCAACAAACTCAAAGAATGTTTAAGTCAAGTAGGAACCAAACTCATCTTACCAAGTAATAGAAAAGACCAAGTCATCATCAACCGACTCCGAATAGGACATACTATCGTTACCCACAAGCATATCTTCAACCACGAGGCTGCTCCGATGTGTACCAAGTGCAACACTCAGTTGTCAGTGAGACTTATAATTGTAGAGTGTCCAGTATACCAAAACGAAAGAATCGCGTGTGCCCTTAGTGACAATTTAAAATGTGTACTTACGTCAAACTTACAGTCTTTATTAGGCTATCTTAAAATGACTAAACTATATACCAGATTGTAAAAAATAGTTTTTTTAGAAGTAGAATCGATATAAGTATTGAAAGAAGTAAAATTATCATAAATTAAAACTAATAATTAAATGCAGAACGTGAAGATCTATCTTTTTTGAACAATAAATTATATAAAACTCAACTCACTTCCGCATCTCAGTTGATCTTTTAAATTTTGATCGTTAATATCACAACAAACCACAGCCTTCTTGCAATCACTCAACTGACGGCATCTGCAAGAATCGCTTGGACTCGGACATTCCTTTTCGGATTTATGAAAGCACTGTTGGTAACACTTGCTGTCATCTTCTCGAAGCTCCTCGGGCAGACGGCTCCACGTTGGCAGAAAACAAAGAAAGATGGTTAGGAGAGTTCCAAGAATCATCTGGAACGAAGAATATACTCAATTTGTTTTCTGTAACAATTATTTGTAACAAGCTTATAATACAGTCATCTCGGTTTTAACGTCAATTTTTAGTAGGTCCGGCCAAAAACAATTCGACAACATTATTAAAAACCCGGTTTTATCTGCAAAGCATAAAGTAAGCCTCGTCTATAGCGTCATAAAATTTTACAGTGGGCAATTGCTTGGTGAAGCTGATGAAGCTATTCCTTCTACATCCGTTGATGTAAATTCCACAACTGAAAGACCATCTGAGAATGACCCACAAGAAAATCAAAGTATCTTTGAACAGAGTTCAGTGGTTACGATAACTAATTTTACTGGACAATAGACCTCTGAAACAGATTTTAAATAACAAAATTTGAGTCTGTTTTACAGTCAAATGTTCAATTCCCCATAAAAGCTAACCAATATTTTATTTTGAGAATTTCTTCCTTGAGATCCAATAGAACAAATTGTCCAAACGAATTTATATGCTGTACAAAAAGACAGCAAAAATTACAAGAACACTAGCCAAGAAGAAATATGGGCATTGCTAGGTGTTTTTATTTTAATAGCACTACACCTTTTACCAGACGACAAAGATTTATATTGATCAAGTGATCATTTTTATAATGAATCTGTTATCTTCAAAGCTTTTACAATAACCAGATTCAAAAAATTAATAGAAAATATCCATCTAAATGACAATTCAGCAGCTGCAGAGAGAGGTGCACCTAACTTTGACATACTGTATAAGATAAGACTATTTATAAATAGACTAAATGAAGTTTTCAAAGAACAAACGAATTCTGGAAGTCGATTTTCTATTGATGAATGTATGGTGAAATTTAAAGGACGTAGTTCTATCAAACAGTATAATATGCCCAAGAAGCCAATTAAGCGTGGTTATAAAATTTGGGCAAAGTGTGATGCTATTACTGGGTATCTGTACCAGTTTATTATCTACACTGGAAAAACTGAAGGCATTAAAAATGATGGCTTGGAATACAAGGTTGTAACTGAATTATGCCAAGATATACCACACAAATCTTTGGTTGTTTTTGATAACTTTTTTACAAGTTGCAAACTGTTGGAAGATTTATATGCTAAACAGCTGTATGCTATAGGTACAGTCAGACCTAATAGCAAAGGTTTACCTCGATTTCATGAGGAAAAAAAACCAAAAATGAAAAACTTCGAAAGAATGAATTCTATTGTTTGAGCAGTGGCCTATAACAGCAATAAAGTGGTTGGATATCAAAGAAGTCACGGTTATTACAACTGCCAATCAACCACATGAAGTAACCATGATAAAACGTACACAAAGAGATGGCACAAAGAAAGATATAATGTGCCCAAAAGTTATTGCAGATTATACACTAAACATGGGAGGTGTTGATCACTTTGACCACTTTAGGGCATCATATCCCATAAGTAGGAAATCTAGAAAATCGTGGATGAGATTGTTCTTCTTTCTTTTAGATGCAAGTGTTATTAATGTACATAATTATGTACACAAGAATTCATGATCAAAAAATACTTCCAAGGATTTTAGGCTTCGCCTTGAAAGAGCTCTCATAGGTGACTTTACAGTAAAGGCATCTACGATCTGTGATATTTAAAACTAAAAAAACGGGAAACTTTGGTGTTCCAGACGAAATTTGGCTGAGAAATGTAGGACCACATTTACCAGATGTTCAAAACAATTATACAAGATGCAGATTTTGCTCAACAAAAAAAAGAAGAAAAACGAACTAATAGTACAGCTTCAGGAGCGGTGCAAAAGCGATTTCTCAATACTTTAGTGACAATGAAGCGGTCATGTCGAACTGAATTGCATCGTTTTCGGCCTTGACCTGGCCTGTCTCCCGAAATCGTCTGATGGCATCTTGTACCGTAGTTCTGGGTACATCGAGTATACCAGCGATATGACGTTGACTGTAACCAGCATCAACTAAAGTCACTGCCCTAGCAGCATCAGTTGGAACGAGTGGCATTTTGAAAATAACAAACAATAAATAAGCACTAAAATTTCAACTTAAACAATATTCGCTCACAATGATATAAAATTACAATTTAAATTGTTAATTTTAATTACAAATTTAATTTTAATTACAAATTGTTCAATATTTGTTATTAATACGGAAACAGCTTTGCAACAATGTCGTACAACGACTCTATGTCAAAAATCCTTCAATGATACAAATTTAGGAAACAAACTGTCACAGGTAATGTAAACAAAACAATAATAAAGGCGGTGGAGTTAATTTTGCTGGTGAGTTAAATCATAGAGAAATAATATAATAGTAGAAATAGATAGATACCCCTTACATACATACCCTTTAGCGCCTCTTGCGGGCTATTTCGTTACTAATTAAAATTTACTGGAAAATAAGGATATATAAAAGATGCACAATTTTTTCTAGATATACGTATATTTATTTGTTGTTTAAGATAAAACAGTTATAAACTAATTACATAATATTTATTACACATATTTTCAGAAACAAATGTTAAATACTATTATTGTTTGCTTCCTGACAACTTACTATCATCATCCTTTTTGTAATTTTTCCATGATTTGTACACAACGGAACAATACAATAATTCACCATGTTTAGTTTTTTTACTAGCACAACACAAAAATTCTTTGCTACAATAGGTAACTCAAACTAAACTTTAAAAACTAAGTAACCAACTTAAATTAAAATTACTAAGAATAAATGCAAACGAAAGTTAAAGATAATAAAATAAAATTGAAAACTTGTAAACAAACGGAAGATCTGTCATTACTTTTGACAGAATTGACATTGCGGAATTAAGCTTCGTTTGATTATTTTATTGACACCCCGAGACTGTGTTAAAATAAATGATTGGTTAAAGTCTTCGTGAGAGAGATAGGCTGTCATTTCTCTTTATTAACTCGCTGGGGTTAAAGTGATGGGGGAATGAACCAAGTTGATTCATATAAGTTTCCAGGGCATGAGTTAAATCGTCTGTATTGATGAAAAATATGGCTAATTTCTTTCTGCAGAGAGCCTCTTGATGGATAATGCAATGAAACATAATACAGTTAACACCATTTTCCCGCAAAAGTCCAACCATGTGGTGCAGTTTTAGAAGTTCCTCAGTTACACAAAAATCTTCACTGATGCATCTAGCAAAAATTAATAGTTGATTTTTGTCAGTAATATCAACACATTCGTCCAGGGCTAAGGAGTAGTACAAATAATCACGAACTGTGTCGACCATTTTTTTAATACGTGAGTATTCAGCTCATAACTCTTCTAGATACAGTTTGATGGGAAACTAAAACACATTCAAAATTTTTGGCCATCTTTTCATCTCCAAAGGATCGCGCCATTTTAACGGCACACCGCTTGATCATTTCTCCATCTCTAAAGTACTTTTTTGACAAGCTCCAAACGTACTTCATATGATGCTACTAAGCTTGATGATTGAACAGCTGTCAGTTTTGTAAATAGAGATTCTTGTTTATTCAATTTAGCTTTAAGTTCTTATACAAGAGTATTGCTAGCTTCACCTTGACACTTATTGTATTTTGTTTTGTGCTGGGTTTCATAATGCCTACTAATATTGTATTCTTTTGATACCGCGAGTACTTGACAACAAATAAGGCACGGAGGTTTGCCTTATAAAGGTCGATTCAGACACATCAGTCACGTCTCGTCACAGTCCTGGCGACGAACCGAACAATCAGTCATACAAAATATTCTTTAATAGAAATATGCTGCCGGCATTCACATTCATCAGACGACGAACAGTTTCCTATCTGTCAGATAGTTGATAGTTGCGTGACCAAACAGGACCGGTTCGGCGCCGAGACTGTGACGGGACTGATGTGTCTGAATTGACCTTAATTCGAAGCTGACTGAAACTAACTGCCCGCTCATCGGGAGTGGGTGTTCAAGGTTAACTATTTTCTTTAAGATTACGTAAAGTTAGACAGGCATTATTTGTGAAATGTGTTTGTGGGGGCCGCAGTTTAACGAGCTTCGAGCCGCATGCGGCCCGCGTGTCTAAGGTTGGACCACACTGTGTTAAATTATAACAACTGAAATCTATTTTTTAAATATATACTACCCAACATTTTATGGGTTTAGTACACACTTCCACTATTTAAAATAATTCTTCTTTTTACAATAAAAGAAGTCTGTAATAAAATTTTATTTAAGCTGTTAATACTGTGAGATAGGAACTTTCGTGTTGTAGGTTTCCAGCTATGAATCTGTCAAAATATGCCCGAGCTGAGCGAATGGACCTTACCAGAAGCTTCTATAAATTCAGATACAATGTGAAAATCAATCATGGAAGGATACTGACCCTAACGTATTGATAATGCCACTAAAAGAATAAAAAAATGGTGTTTTCAAGCAGTGCATATTTTTTATTATTTTTATGTTCAGCTAATTATTTACCAATTTATAATGACAGATTATCACAGACGTTAATTATAATAGCTAACAAAACACAATAGATAAACTAATATTATCAACAGCACTATATTTACTGTGATATTAATTACAGTCGTAAATAAAATATGCAGTTCCAGATAAGGAAACCAATTTATTTATATACTTTATTAGCTTGTATACAAGTGAACGACACATGAATTTTATGTAGTGATGAAGTACTTGAAATCATTTCGCTATGTTTTTGTCGACTGTTTGGAGAAATATAGTAAACTATGAAAGAAATTAAATTATGTAAGAAACTATATACACAAAAATGGTGTAGGTATATTAGTAACATCATAACTGAGTAAATATGTGACCAATTTCGTACCAGTCTCAGATAGAATAATATTACTCCAAATAAATACTCAACCATTTAAAACTAACATACTTCAAATCTATGCCCCGACTGCAGATAGAAAATATGACGATGAAGTCGAGAAGTTGTATGATCAAATCCAAGACATCTTACAGAAACTTAATAAACACGAAATTTTATATATTATAGGCGACTTCAATGCAAAAA